AAGGCCTGGTATTCTAAGACGCGGCTACTTTATTTTATTTATTTATTTTTTTGAGACGGAGTCTCGCTCTGGAGTGCAGTGGCGAAATCTTACTGCATCCTCCACCTCCTGGGTTCAACCGATTCTCCTGCCCCAGCCTCCCGAGTAGCTGGGACTAACGCAATCACCACTACGCCTGGCTAATTTTTTTTTTTTTTTTTTTACGGAGACTGGGTTTCACTATGTTTGCCAGGCTGGTCTCGAACTCCTGACCTGAAGTGATCCTCTTGCCTCGACCTCCCGGAGTTCTGTGATTACACGCGTAAGCTCCCTCGCCAGCCTAGACTCGGCTACTTTTGGATCAAGAAATCCAGAAGTTTCTAGACTGTGAACTTGCTCTTTACCATGGACATTCACCACCTGCAACTTCCCAGGGGTTCTCTGTCTCGCCCCACACTGTGAGGACCCCCTTACCAAACAGAATTCCAGGGTGCTGGCTCTTCGCGGGATCTGAGCTATTCGCCGGCGTCCTGAGTTGCTTGGGTTCACTCCCCCACCCTCGTGTCCCTGCCTGAGTCCTGCCTTGTGTTTTCGATTCTGTTTGTCAGGGGCCCTAGCGTGGGGCTTCTCTGTGGGAGAGCAGGAGGGAAGCGGTGAGGGGCGATTCCGGAGGAGGCAGAGCCCCAGGTGTCCGTGGGAAGCTCCAAGGCCGGGCCACGGGACGGCCACCCTGGGCTGTGACACAGTCCAGCATCTTCGCTAAGGCACCTGTTGGAGGCTCCGCCTGGGTCCCAGGACCCTGACTGCGCCGGGTGGCTGCCAGCGAGGAGGCGGGGCCGAGGCGGGGGCGGGGAAGGAGGAGCGGGGGTCTGTCTGATGGGCGGGGCTTCTGGATGGGCGGGGCTGCCGACTCTGAGGTCTGAGCCGGGCTCCCGGCGGAGGAAGCTGACGACTCCTAGAGGCTCAGTGCGCGAGCCCGAAGTTGGGCCTGGAAAGGGGGCACCGCCTTCCCGGTTCTGGTGGATGGGGAGTGAGGGGAAGGACAAAAGCGGCACAGGGAATAGCATGACACGGGCCCGGGGCAGGGCGCATTTGGAAAGGGGCGAGGAGAGGACAGTGGCCTCCGGCACGGCGGCAGTGGGCCTGGAGAGGCAGTCGGGCCCCGTCGCGAAGAGCCTCCGCCCGGCGTAAGGAGCCGGGACTGTCTAGGAGGCAGTGGAGGCTCCGGAAAGCCAAGCGCCTCCCGCCCAGGCTCGCGTGCTTGGAGTACCGGAGACTGCAGAGCAAGCACGACGTTCCACCGGGATGCGGAGGGGAACGGTTATTTGTACTTCTACATCATCTCTTTTGGGGGTGTATGTGTGTGGGGGTGTGTGTGTTGTGTGTTGTTGTTTTTGCGACAGAATCTCTGTCACCCAGGCTGGAGTGCAGTGCTGATCTCGGCTCACTGCAGCCTCTGCCTCCTGGGCTCAAGTGATCCCCCCGCCTCAGCCTCCCGAGTACCTGAGACCACAGGCGCCTGCCACCACGCCCGGCTAATTTAAAAAAAAATTTTTTTTAGTCTACACAGCGGTCTGTGTTGCTCAGGCTGGTCTGAAACTCCTGGACTCAAACCATCCTGCCTCCTCGGCCTCCCGAAGTGCTGGGATTACATTCATGAGCCACTGCGCCCACCCGGTCTAAGTGTTTTTATTTATTTATATTTATTTATTTTTTTGAGACAGAATCTTGTTCTGTCGCCCAGGCGGGAGTGCAGTGGCGCAATCTCAGCTCACTGCAAGCTCCGCCTCCCGGGTTCACGCCATTCTCCTGCCTCAGCCTCCCTAGTAGCTGAGACTACAGGCGCCCGCCACCACGCCCGGCTAATTTTTTTTGTATTTTTAGTACAGACGGGGTCTCACCGTGTTAGCCAGGATGGTCTCGATCTCCTGACCTCGTGATCTGCCCGCCTCGGCCTCCCAAAGTGCTGGGATTACAGGAGTGAGCCACCGCGCCGGGTCAAGTGTTTTACTTTTTATGTTTTACAAAAGCTTTTAATTTGTTACAAATAAACGTGCAGCATGTGGTGGGAGTGTTCAGGTGTTTACTGGTGCAGTGCGCAGGGAACGCGGTTCCAGGCGCGAGATGTGGAGGCCCAGAGGCAGAAGCCCCGTGGCTGCAGCGCGCGCAGGCGCGCAGGGGACTGTCGGAGGAGCAGGCGGGGACCTGGGCTCCCAGGGCTGTGCCCCCCCCCCCAGGTCCAGTTCCAGGGGCGCGTCTGGCCCTTTGTTGCTGTCTTATTAGGGTTCTTTCATGGGGGTCGGTTCTTAATTCTTTCTTTTCTCCCCAGAGAGGGTCTACTTGTTGTAAGAGGGAAGAGTCCACACCGCAGCAGTACACTTTGCACATATGATGAAAAGCGTCACTTTTGCAGCATTCCAGCTGGAGATGCGTGACCTTCAGTCTGCGGCGGGCGGCAGGGCGAGAGGCTTGGACAGGAGGTGCATCTTGCCCGGGGAAGGCTGAACGAATGAGAGCTCGGTCCCTGGTGAGAAAGAGCCCAGAGCATGCGAGAGGCGGGCAGCAAAGGCTTCTCTGCAGCGGAGACGCGAGGGCGGCGACCTGCAGGGAGGCGGGGGCAGCGCCTGGGGCGCTCCAAGCTCTCGACCCCAAGGAAGCCCACGCTCGGGACCCGCGTGCTGCCACAGCCCCGGGGGCCTAGAGGGGCCCGTGCGCCGAGCGGAGGACCCGGGACAAGCGCGGGGCGCTGCGGGGAACGGAAGGGAACGCGCGTGGTCTCCCCACCGCGGGCCTTCGACGCCTCCTGACACGTACTGCGGGCGCCCGGGTCCGGTCCTCAGTTGGTTCGAGCCGAATCCCGACGCGCCAACGGCTCGACCTTGCCCGCCACGAGGCAAGGCTTCCTGCCCGGCAGGAAGGACTCGGCTGGCGCCTGCGGGCAACCGTAGAGCTGAAGGCGCCGCGGCTGGGCCGTCCCGCTCTCCGGGGCCGCCGAGCGCACTGTCCTCCCGCGGCCCAGAGCGTCACCGGAAGTGCCTGGGGGGCGGGCCAGAAGTGGGGACTGCGGCGCTTCCGGCGCGCGGCGGGGCGGGGCCTGTAGCGGGTGCAGTCCAGCTGTCCTGGATGCCGCGGCGACGGCTCTTCTTGCTCTGGCGTCGATTCGGGAGGGTCAAGGAGCGGCGGAGGGAACGGGGCTGGCACCGCCGTCCTGGCCGGCGCGTCCTGCACTCCCCTTGCAGCGCAGGCCCCAGCCGCTCTCGGGCGCGGCGTGGAGGAGGCGGCCCTGCAGGTGCATTCCCGGGGTGCCGACGCATGCGGGGCTTCCTGTGAGCTGAGTTCCCCCCGCGCGTCTTTAGGCCTTTGTAAGTTGTCAAATTTCCCACTGGCCCAGCTAATCGAGCCTCCTCCCAGCTGTGAACAGGAGAGCCTGTTACCTAATTCTTGCCGGTAAGGTACTTTCAAAAATCTGCTTCGAGACTAAAGAATTGCACTTTAAATACCTTTTTGCAAAATAGGCGGGGTCTCGCTTTGTTTCCCAGGCTGGCCGCCTACTCCTGGGCTCAAGCGATCCTCCCGCTCAGCCTCTCTGGCAGGCGGGACTACAGGCGGCTTAAATTAAATTTACTAATTAATTACTTTTTATTTACTTATTTTTTTAAGACAGGGTCTCCTTCTATCGCCCAGCTGGAGTGCAGTGGCGAAATCTCAGTTCACCGCAGCCTAGACCTGGGCTCAGGCAATCCTCCCACCTCAGCCTCCCTAGTAGCTGGGACTACAGACGACTACCATCACACCTGGCTAATTTTTTTTTTTGTAGAGACGGGGTCTCACTATGTTGTCCAGGCTAGTCAGGAACTCCTGTACTCAGTCCTCCATCCCGAGCCTCTTGAAGTGCTAGGATTGCAAGTGTGAGCCACAGCATCCAGCCAAATTACACTTCTTTTTTTTTTTTTTTTGGCGGAGTCTCGCTCTGTGGCCCGGGCTGGAGTGCAGTGGCCGGATCTCAGCTCACTGCAAGCTCCGCCTCCCGGGTTCACGCCATTCTTCTGCCTCAGCCTCCCGAGTAGCTGGGACTACAGGCGCCCGCTACCTCGCCCGGCTAGATTTTTGTATTTTTTAGTAGAGACGGGGTTTCACTGTGTTAGCCAGGATGGTCTTGATCTCCTGACCTCGTGATCCGCCCGTCTCGGCCTCCCAAAGTGCTGGGATTACAGGCTTGAGCCACCGCGCCCGGCCCAAATTACACTTCTTAATTGCACTTGAGGTGAGACCCCCCCAAAAAATGTATTGCTTACTGGTTTTTCTTCTTGGTGAATTACATATTCATGATCTTTGCCAATTGTCCTTCGTTTCTTACTAATATATAGAGGTCTTTATCAGATAGGGATGAATCTTTGCATTGCACGTATTTCCCCTTTTTGGTTTTTTTTACATTAAATTTTTTTATGTAGTTAAATTTGTCAGACATCTGATGTCAGGCTTAGAAAAATCATTCCTCTGGCCAAAACTTTACCATTCAAATAATTTGTTCTTTTTTTCTGGTTTAACATTTTTGTATTCAAATCCTTACAACTACCAAGAAAATTTTAAAATCCATGGGAATTTCTCTAGCTATTTGAAGACTGCTGGAGGGCGTGAGCTTGCTCAGCATGGAGCTAGGAAGCTGTGGCCATGCCCACCTGTGCTCTGTGTCAGCCCTGGTTCGAGGGGAACCGACAGAGCCTGGACCAGAGTTCCCGGGCATCCCGCAGAACACCGCTTCTGGGAGTGACTGTTGAGCCAGGACCTTGATTGCCAGTGACAGGGGTGGGCCCACTTGGGTGTTGCAGCTCCCGCAGGGCCTATTCTGACCGTCTCCTCTGAAGGCATTCTGACCTCACTGCCCCGGCCCCTGTACCTAGCCCTGGCTGCGATTTATTTTCCTTTTCTTTTACCTCAGCAGAAATTGTTCTGACTGCTGGCGTTCTGCAAGGTGGAGCCAGGAGGAGAGCCCCCAGGTGCCAAGGAGAGCAGTACCCTGATGGAGGCCCTTGCAGGTGAGGGGACACGTCCACAGTCGGGCCCAGAGTTCCAGGGCAGGAATTGAACAGGAATACAGGAAAAACACCATGTCTCGGTCACTGGCGCAGAGCATATACTGTGTCCTCAGGCACAGGGCGAGGGAGGGAGGTAAACGCAGGCCCATCAGATCTCTTGGGCATCTGTTTGGTGACTGTCTTTGCCAGTGAACTGAGAGCTTTTGGTTAGAAAGTCTGGCAGCCCCAGGCTCTGCCTCTGGGAAGGTCTGGCTCAGTGCTTCTCAGCCTTGGCACTGTGGCTGTTTTGGAATGGATGAGTCTTTGTTGAGGGGCCATCGTGTGCATTGTGGGAGGTTCAGCAGCACCCTCGCCTCTGCCCACTTGCTGTCAGTAGCGCCCCCTCCCAGTTGTGACAACCATAAACATCTCCACACATTGTCAAATGTGCCCTTGGGACAGAATCACCCACAAGAGAACACTGTTTTATGTTTTGGGGCCACCCTGAGAGTGGGCGGGAGGTGGGGTAGTGCAGGCCCTGCTATGGGGTCTGGGATTGCCTCCATTGGAAAGGCATCCTCAGGGCCTGCAAGCTGGATCCAGTAGAGCTCCACTGTGTATGTGGCCCTTTCTCATTGTAGTTTTGGTTCTTTTTCCTCATAAGCAATACCTTTGAGTCAGTTCTTGAACTTCCAAGTCTGCAAACCACACAAGACTAGGGCTGGCCTCTGCCAAGGGGCTTCTGTTCTGCGCACCACCCTGAGCCTCTCCCACGCCCTGGCTGCTCAGTGTCATGGGTCTGCAAGGGCAGAGAGAGGTGGGGACTGTTGACAGCAGCCTGCTCTCATCTGCCCTGGAACATCCCTGCCCCACCCCCACCTCCACAGGAGTTTCCATCACATCTGCACCCTCCACATTCTTGAAAGGTGCAGCCGGGACTCAGCCGCTTCTCTTCCGTTGCCACAGCAGACTGCCTGCAGGCAGAGAAGTCCCACTCAGTTGCTGTGCTGGCCTCGGAGACTCCCGTCCCCCCACTGCCACTCCTGGCTGAGCCCTCCTGCCTCCTATGCAGGCCGAGGTCAGTAGCCAGCTTTCTCAAGTCCCAGGGTTTCATCCCTACCCCTTAAGCCTTTTTTCTAAATGGCCACATGGTCTGTCCCTGTGAGCCGGAGGAACCAAATCTAACCAGTGGCTTCACTGCCAGACAAGGACCACTGATAATGCAGCCTGGTCGGGGCTGCTCAGCCCGGTCAGCGCCACCACCCAGCCACATGGGTTGCTGCTTCCAGCTCTTAGTCCAGATTTCTTTTTTTTTTTTTTTTTTTTAAGACAAAGTCTTGCTCTGTCACCAGGCTGGAGTGCAGTGACACAAGCTCACTGCAGCCTCCACCTCCTGGGTTCAAGCGATTCTTCTGCCTCAGCCTCTCAAGTAGCTGGGACTACAGGTGTGCGCCACCACGCCCGGATAATTTTTGTATTTTTAGTAGAGACGGGGTTTCACCATGTTAGCCAGGATGGTCTTCATCTCTTGACGTCGTGATCTGCCCGCCTTGGCCTCCCAAAGTGCTGGGATGACAGGCGTGAGCCACCATAACCGGCCTCTTGGTCCGGATTCTGAGTGAGGACACTCCTGTTTGCACGTAACAGAAGCTCCTAGAGTTTGGTGTTTGGGGGGAGTTGTTAAGGAGGCCACGTTGTCTCAGGGAGTCCAAGGTGAAAGGAATGAGCTGGGGCCATGGCTGGGTATGGTGGCTCACACCTGTAATCCCAGCACTTCAGGAGACCGAGGTGGGAGGAGGGTTGAACCCAGGAGTTCAAGAGCAGCCTGGGTAACACACTGACACACTGTCTCTACAAAAAATTTTAAAACTAGCCTGGTGTGGTGGTGCTCACCTGGAGTCCCACCTACTTGGGAGGCAGAGGGAAGATCACGTGAGCCGTGAGGCTGCAGTGAGCCACGATGGCACCACTGCCCTCCAGCCTGGGTGATAGAGCAAGACCCTGGCTCACAAAAAAGGGAGGAGGGACAGACAGAAGGCAGAGCTGGGCCGTGGGCTCTGTTGGGTGCCACCATCCCCACGCCTCCTGCAGCGTCTGCCTCGCTCCTGTCCTGGCTTGCTGCCGGCAGTCTCCAGCCTCTTTTGCTTTCCCAGCTGCCCTGCAGAGTAAGGCAGTGCCCAGAGCCTGCATTTCTGTCCCCAGGACTGGGTGGGCTGAGACTGGAGGTTTAGCCCCACTTCTAGCCCCATTTAGCCTCGTTTCTGTATGTGTGTGTATTTATTTATTTATTTATTTAGAGATGGAGTCTCACTCTGTCACCCAGGCTGGAGTGCAGTGGCGCGATCTCAGCTCACTGCAAGCTCTGCCTCCCGGGTTCACGCCATTCTCCTGCCTCAGCCTCGTGAGTGAGTAGCTGGGACTACAGGCGCCCGCCACCACGCCCAGCAATTTTTTTATGTGTTTAGTAGAGACGGGGTTTCACCATGTTAGCCAGGATGGTCTCGATCTCCTGACCTTGTGATCTGCCCGTCTCGGCCTCCCAAAGTGCTGGGATTACAGGCTTGAGCCACCGCACCCAGGCTTCTGTTTGTATATTTTTAAAATTCTATTTTTTTTAAGAGACAGGATCTCACTGTGTTGGCCAGGCTGGTCTCAAATTCCAAGTCTCAAGTGGTCCTCCTGCCTCAGCCTCCCAAAGTGCGGGCATTACAGGTGTGAGTCACCACGCCCAGCCCCACAGCCCGGTTTCTAGAGTGGCAGTGCAGGACTCTCATCCACCTCATAACCACAGGGGTTAAGAAGGTGGGGAGGAGAAAAAACTAGGCGGGCAAAATCAAAGGTGTCTTTGGAACACTGATGTCACCATCACCGTCATTGTCCTGTCGTCACCACGATTGCCAGAGCCACCCTCGACTCACATTCTCTTGCATCTAAAATCGTTGCTGTCCGGCCTCTTTTTCAGTTGTGAAGGCTGCTTTCCTGGCGCAGGCCCCAAGTGGCAGCCGATCAGCTGAGGTGCAGGCAGCTCGGAGTACGGAGCCTGCACCAGAGCCAGGCGCTCCCGAGGGAGAGGGCCACAGAGCGGGGCCTCCCCGGGCGCTGGGGTCTCTTGGCCTTTGTGAAAACGAGGAAGCCAGAGAGAGGCCCAGAGGTTCCCCTCGAGGTCCGGTCATTTCTGAGAAAACTGGAGGACAGAGTGGCCGCGAGTCAGACGTCCCTCCGAACTTAGGCCGGGGAGCAGAGGGCAGGGGCGGCTGGAAGGGGCGGCCTTTCCCGTGCAGCGCCTGTGGCCGCAGCTTCAAGTGCTCCTCGGACGCCGCGAAGCACCGGAGCATCCACTCCGGGGAGAAGCCGTACGAGTGCAGCGACTGCGGGAAGGCCTTCATCCACAGCTCGCACGTGGTCCGACACCAGCGGGCGCACAGCGGGGAGAGGCCCTATGCGTGCGCCGAGTGCGGCAAGGCCTTCAGCCAGAGCTTCAACCTCCTCCGGCACCAGCGCGTGCACACGGGCGAGAAGCCCTACGCGTGCGCCGACTGTGGCAAGGCTTTCGGCCAGAGGTCGGACGCCGCCAAGCACCGCCGCACCCACACCGGGGAGAGGCTGTACGCGTGCGGCGAGTGCGGGAAGCGCTTCCTGCACAGCTCCAACGTGGTCCGGCACCGGCGGACCCACCACGGGGAGAACCCGTACGAGTGCCGGGAGTGCGGCCAGGCCTTCAGCCAGAGCTCCAACCTCCTCCAGCACCAGCGCGTGCACACGGGGGAGCGGCCCTTCGCCTGCCAGGACTGCGGCCGCGCCTTCAGCCGCAGCTCGTTCCTCCGCGAGCACCGCCGCATCCACACCGGGGAGAAGCCCCACGAGTGCGGCCACTGCGGGCGCGCGTTCCGGGCGCTGTCGGGCTTCTTCCGGCACCAGCGGCTCCACACGGGCGAGAAGCCGTTCCGCTGCACCGAGTGCGGCCGCGCCTTTCGCCTGAGCTTCCACCTCATCCAGCACCAGCGGGTGCACGGCGCCGAGTGAGCCGGGGCTGCCGCTGAAGAGATGCCAGTGGCCTGGTGGGCGTAAGGCTGAGGCCGGGTGAGTCCTGTCCACACCATGCACGGTGAGGAAGTAACAACCGGCTGCTCGCCTGGTTCTCGGGCTGCAGAAGCCTCGCCCAGCCTGCACCTGCCTTGGCTCAGGAGCAGTCAGGAGAGACAGGGCTCGGCGAAGGTGAGCGCTGCCCATGGGAGGCGATTCCCAGAGGCGGGGAGGTCTCAGGGGTCTGTCCCGGGCCGGCCGCCCGCTGCTGAGACGCCTCCCCTCCCGCGGTCAGCTGCAGCGAAGGTCTCATCTGCTGGGGTGTAGTGGCCGGTGATTGAATGGGTCATTCCTACGCAGCCAGGCCTCCATCAAAACCCTGCATGAGACGAGGGGCTGAGGGTCTCGAGCTTCAGGTTGGTCAAGGCGGGGTGGGGGGGGTGCAGTTAGGAAGGGGGCCTCACGCCCTCCCCCCGTACCTTGCTGGCAAGCAGTTCATCTATGTCTTTCAACGACTTTTCACAGCTGTTTGCTATGGTCCCGAGTTCTGTGTGCTTAGAAAATTATGGAACTTGGCCGGGCGCGGTGGCTCCTGCTTGTAATCCCAGCACTTCGGGAGGCCGAGGCGGGCGGATCACGCAGTCAAGAGATCGAGACCATCCTGACCAACATGGTGAAACCCTGTCTCTACTAAAAATACAAAAATTAACTGGGCGTGGTGGCGTGCGCCTGTAATCCCAGCTACTCGGGAGTCTGGGGCAGAAGAATCGCTTGAACCCGGGAGGCGGAGCTTGCAGTGAGCCGAGATTTCCCCACTGCACTCCAGCCTGGGCGACAGAGCGAGACTCCATCTCAAAAAACAAACAAAAATTACGGAACCTGAGAAGGGGGTCGTAGGGACCCCAGGGCCCACTGTCTGCACTTGGCATCTGAGGTGGGGGTGGTCTTGTGGGACTGACCCCTTACCCTGTGGGTTCTGCACTAACTCCGGGCAGTTGGTGTCAGAATCGAGTTAAATCGAAGGACATCTCGTTGGTGTCTGAGAGTTGGAGAGCTGGTTGGTATGGAGGGAAAGGCTCACAGCACATGATGTCAGAAGTGTTCTGTGGGTAGAGGAATCGTTTTGTCTTTGAGACTGTTATGAGTATGTACAAATGTTATTTCCTGTAAAATATTTTCATTCTTTAAAATGTTATTTCCGAGATAGAAAAGTAGAAGTGTCTCTTTGGGGAACGTTTTTGGGTGCGTATAGTAAAGCACTGTCACCATGAATTAAGCCAGGTGGGCTTTGAGTTTCTTGGGATGACTGAGGGAAATGTGAGCCGCCCGCTGGCCGTGAGCCCTGGGGCGTGGCTGCAGGAATCGCCCATCCTGGTCTGGCTGTGGCTTGGGACCACCTCCTGCAGTTCTCTGCCCCAGGTAAGGACTGATTGGGGATAATTCTGGGTCCTGAGCTGGCTGCAGCTTCCAAGACAGTCGCTTTGAGGGCTCTTGTTGGCACCCACTTCATTAAAATGCATGAGCTTAGGGTTGTGCAGCCTGTAGGGGCAGGGGTGCTCTCAGAATGGATTTGGTGGCCCCACCGTTCATTAAGGTCCTGACTCCTGGGCCAGTGGTGAGGTGGGAAGATGAGTCTGTGTCTCCCGTGCTGAGCCGAGACCCTCAGGCCAGCTGAAGGTGACCTTCCAGGTACCAGTAGAGGTCAAAGCAACTGCTCTCTGAAGTTTACCCAGCTTAGCCTCATCCCTGCTCATAAGTCAGGCATTCAGCTTGCAGTCAAAGATCCCCAAGCACACAAGGAGAGTCAGCTGACTGAGGGCCAACAGAAACAGCAGGCAGCTGCTCTCAGCCAGAAAGAAAGGCAGATCCTGAAACTGTCATCATACAGGTGAGAGGACAGTTATGTGTCAGGCGCAGTGACGGTGATGAGAAAGCTGTAGGATACATATTGTCACCTGTGAATAGGCAGGACTTCTTAAAGAACTTTTGGAAATGAAAAATAGGCTAGACGCAGTGGCTCATGCCTATAATCCCAACACTTTGGGAGGCCTAGGAGGGAGGATCACTTGAGCCCAGGAGTTCAAGACCAGCCTAGGCAACATAGTGCTGGGCATGGTGGCTCACGCCTGTAAGCCCAGCACTTTGGCAGGCTGAGGCAGTGGATCACCTGAGGTCAGGAGTTTGAGACTATCCTGGCCAACACGGCAAAACCCCATTTCTACTAAAAATACAAAATTAGCTGGGCCTAGTGGCCCATACCTGTAATCCCAGCTACTCAGGAGGCTGAGGCAGGAGAATCCCTTGAACCTGGGAGGCAGAAGCTACAGTGAGCCGAGATCACACCATTGTACTCCAGCCTGGGCAAAAAGAGCAAAACTCCATCTTAAAAAAAAAAAAAAAGGAAAATTATCTGAGTGATGGTCTTAGATATAAAATGGAATGGCAAGCAAAATTATGAATATATATGTATGTATAAAAGAATAATGTCAACTAAAATTCTGGACAACAATAGCATGTAAATTAGAAGGGACAGAAATGCTCTAAGACCCTCCTGTTATTGGGAAGCGGGTGTAAGACAGTGTTTAATTTGACTTTGATAAGTTAAATGTGCATAGTGTAATTTAATGTTAATTACTAAAAGAGTGTAACCAGTCTATACATCTCTAACCCAATAAAAAGAATAATTTAAAATTAATTTAAAATGTAGTCCCAGCTACTTGGGAGACTGAGGCAGGAGGATCTCAGTTTGGATCCTCAGACAAGGAGTTTGAGGCAGCAGTGAGCTATGATTGTGCTGCTGTACTCCAGACTGGACAACAAGTGAGATCCCATAAAATAAATAAATGAACACAAACTTCTGTCAATTAAAAAATAAGAAAAGAAAAATCAGGCTGGGCCTGAGCGCTGTGGCTCATACCTGTAATCCCAACACTTTGGAGGCCAAGGTGGGTGGATTGCTTAAGCCTAGGAGTTCGAAACCAGCCTGGGCAACATAGGGAGAACCTGTCTCTACAAAAAAATACAAAAAGTAAGCTGGGCATGGTGGAGCATGCCTGTAGTTCCAACCACCCAGGAGGCTGAGGTGGGAGGATCACCCAAGCCTGGAAGCTCAAGACTGCAGTGAGTTGTAGTCACGCCACTACACTCCAGCCTGGGCAACAGAGTGAGACCCTCTCTCAAAAAAAAAAAAAAATCAGAAACAAACTGGGCAAATTAAGATGACAGAAACAAAACTAAATATGTCCCTAACCACAGTAAGCTGTATGGAATTTCTGGTTAACAGGTAAAGGTTAGGGCCAGGCACAGTGGCTCAGGCCTGTGATCCCAGCACTTTGGGAGGCTGAGGCGGGTGGATCACCTGAGGTCAGAGGTTCAAGACCAGCCTGGCCAACATGGTGACACCCCATCTCTACTAAAAATACAAAAATTAGCCGGTTGTGGTGGCGCATGCCTGTAATCCCAGCTACTCGGAAGGCTGAGACAGGAGAACGGCTTGAACCTGGGAGGCAGAGGTTGCAGTGAGCCAAGATCGCGCCACTGCACTCCAGCTTGGGTGACACAGTGAGACTCTGTCTCACACACACAGGTAAAGGCTAGGAGGAAAATCCATGACCCAGAGTCACACACATGAACACACACAGGAGGGAGGCGTGAGTCAACCAAGGGGAGGAAAGGCACGCTCAGGTGCCTCAGAGGTGAGAGGCAGTCATGTGCCATGTGAAGCCCAGAACATTGTTTTAAAAAGGAAACTCGGCCGGGCACGGTGGCTCACGCCTGTAATCCCAGCACTTTGGGAGGCCGAGACGGGCGGATCACGAGGTCAGGAGATCGAGACCATCCTGGCTAACACAGTGAAACCCCGTCTCTACTAAAAATACAAAAAACTAGCCAGGCAAGGTGGCGGGCGCCTGTAGTCCCAGCTACTCCGGAGGCTGAGGCAGGAGAATGGCGTAAACCCGGGAGGCGGAGCTTGCAGTGAGCTGAGATGTGCCACTGCACTCTAGCCCAGGCGACAGAGCGAGACTCCGTCTCAAAAAAAAAAAAAGAAACAAAAATAACGATGGGCCAGGTGCAGTGGCTCACGCCTGTAATCCCAACACTTTGGGAGGCACAGGCGGGCGATCATTTGAAATCAGGAATTCAAGACCAGCCTGGCCAACGTGACAAAACTCCATTTCTATTAATTATACAAAAATTAGCCAAGTGTGGTGGTGTGCGCCTGTAATCCCAACTACTTGGGAGGTTGAGGCACGAGAATCACTTGAACCTGGGAGGCGGAGGCTGCAGTGAGCCGAGATCCCGCCACTGATTCCAGCCTGGGTATCACTCAGACTCAGTGAGACTCCACCTCAAAAAAAAATAAAAAAAATAATTAAAATGATGTCTTAGAAATGGAAATGTGATAGGCAAAATTAAATTAGCAAGAAGGTGGAAAGTGAAGAAAATCTGTTTGAAAGAATGAAAAGATAAGAAGGTGGGTGATAGGATAGATTAAGACCAACAGGAATTCCAAGGGGGGGAAAAGCAAAAACAGAAGATGGTGGGAATGAAGTTTAGAGAAATAATTTTCCCCCAGAACCGAGAAACATGAATCTCCAGAGTAAAAGCGCTTACCGATATCCCACACAAAGATGGAAGAAATTACCTACATCCAGGCATGACGTGAAACATCGGACAGTCCGGGACATACAGACGATCCGAGAGCGCAGATCACACAGAGGCTGAGAAATAAATCCCTTCCCAAGGGCAAATTGGAAGTTAGAAAACATCGGAACAATGCTTCGAAAATTACGAGTGAAAATCATTTGCAACCTAGGATTTTATACCTACCCAAGTGGTCAGTCAAGTGTGACAGTATGACAGCATTTTCAGATATGCAAACTCTTAAGTTTTAAAAATTCATTTTCATAATACATGTTTTCAGGAGCCTACTAAAGGAGGAGCTCCAAATCAAGGGAGTAAACCAAGAAAGAGGAAGAAGTGGGGCCAGCCACTGTGTTGTAATCCTAGCACTTTGGGAGGCTGAGGCGGGCAGATCACTAGGTCAGGAGTTCAAGACCAGCCTGGCCAATATGGTGAAACCCCGTCTCTACTAAAACTACAAAAATTAGTTGGGCATGATGGTGCATGCCTGTAGTCCCAGCTACTCAGGAGGCTGAGGCAGGAGAATTGCTGGAACCTGGCGGAAGTTGCAGTGAGCCAAGATTGCACCACTGCACTCCAGCCTGGCAACAGAGCAAGAATCCATCTGGAAAAAAAAAAAAAAGAAACAAAAAAAGAGGAAGAAGTGGAATCTCGTAAACGGGGTTAGTGGTGAGACATCCCCACGTGACAGCGGAGCCCCAGGGCTGGGCAGAGAGAGCCGCGTGTCCTGGGACCGTCTGAAATTTCCCACGGTCCACTCTGGAGCCACAGTGACTTACTTTCCTTCCACCAGTAAAATATGCTCGCCACCCCCCAACTCAAGCCACCCAGAGGTCTGTCCCTGCTGCTGTCTCAGCTCAGAGGCTGTCAGCTCATGATTCTCCTCTGGTCCGGATATATGTGAGATGCCTCTTGAGGCTGCAAACTAAAGAAAAAAATCACCTGCCTCTACCCCAGCATAGGATTTTGAGACAGGGCCAGGATAAGCACAGTAATGCTCCCGTTTGAAAAAGAGAGAGTGGGGGCTCATTTATTGCAGACCCCAGTCTGTAGCACTTCTGTGACACAGTCAATGGCATGTTGCCAAGGGACCTCGTTTGGGGGCAGAGTCTGTGTCTTTTTTAGGGCCCCATTTTCCCTGGGAGTGACATTATTACCCTTTTTTCCCCCTCAGATTTTGGCTCTGCCCTTGGTGTCTCTCCTCTGTGTTTTGAGGTGTCCGACAGCCTGTATTTCTCTGTGTTTTGAGGTGTCTGACAGCCTGTATTTGAGGCTAAACAGCTGTCTCAGTTGCTCACTGCCTGTAGAAGGAGGGAACCCAAAGGCTTCATTTTCAACTGTCTCCATCTCTTTTCATTTAAACTGATACAGCGCCCCTAAAAATCCTGTGGGTTTCTGGCCAGGCACGGTGGCTCACGCCCGTATCCCAGCACTTTGTGAGGCCGAGGCAGGCGGATCACGAGGTCAAGAGATTGAGACCATCCTGGCCAACATGGTGAAACCCCGTCTCTATTAAAATTACAAAATTTGGCTGGGTGTGATGGTGGGCACCTGTAGTCCCAGCTACTCAGGAGGCTGAGGCAGGAGAATTGCTTGAACCCAGGAGGCAGAGTCTGCAGTGAGCCAAGATCGTGCCATTGCCCTCTAGCGTGGCGAAACAGCGAGATTCCATCTCAAAAAAAAAAAAAAAAATCTTGTGGGAGTCTTAGATTATGTTCTCCACTAGACAAAAAATTGACTTAAACATTTGTCAGTGTTTTATCTGTTTTGTATGATGTGTTAGTATGTTGTGGGAAAACATCCTTTAGCATCTTAGAAACGCTTTTGTCTAGCTGAGAGGGTTTGTACTATATACTATCTTCTATCTTTTTATTATTTATTTTTTTAAGAGACAAGGTCTTGCTCTGTTACTTAGGCTAGAGTGCAGTGGTGCAGCCAGTTCACAGCAGCCTTGAACTCCTGGCCTCCCACCTCAGCCTCCCAAAGGGCAGGGATGACAGGTGTGAGCCACCACACCCAGCCCCAAGATAGTAAACCTTTCTGGGGCCTTAACAATGGATATGGCCACAACCTTGATTTTATCTTTATCCTGAGGCCACTTATGACTTGAATATTTTTGGGCAGTGGTGATGCACCCTGTAGTCCCAGCTGGTCAGGATGCTGAGGCAGGAGGATCCCTTGAGCAATGCAGGGAGAACCTTGTCTCTAAAAAACAAAAAGCAAATTTAAAACAATTTTTAAAAGACAATGCTTTGCTGACTGCAGAGACAACACGTGAGATGGTTTTGTTTCCCAAACCAGGTCAGGCCCCGGCTGTTTCCTCAGATTCTGCCTGCAGACTAGACGATCCCTCCTTTCGTGCATTTCACCCTCACAGGCCTCACCAGTGCCACGAGGAGCGTTCGCTGAAATTTTTGACACTCTGTCTGGAGCTCTGCTTAGCCGGATCCATTTTCTAATTTCCAAGTTACTGAAGGCAATTTTTTTTTTTCGAGACAAAGTCTCACTCTGTTGCCCAGGCTGGAGTGCAGTGGCGCTATCTCGGCTCACTGTAAGCTCCGCCTCCCGGGTTCACTCCATTCTCCTGCCTCAGCCTCCCGAGTAGCTGGGACTACAGGCGCCCGCCACCATGCCTGGCTAATTTTTTGTTTTTTAGTAGAGATGGAGTTTTACCATCTTAGCCAGGATGGTCTCGATCTCCTGACCTCGTGATCCACCCGCCTCGGCCTCCCAAAGTGCTGGGATTACAGGCATGAGCCACCGCGCCCGGCTTTTTTTTTTTTTTTTTTTTTTTTTTTGAGACAGAGTCTGGTTCTGTTTCCCAGGCTGGAGTGCAGTGGCACGATCTTGGCTCACTGCAGCCTCCGCCTCCCGGGTTCAAGTGATTCTCCTGCCTCAGCCTCCTAAGCAGCTGGGATTACAGGCGTGCACCACCATGCCCAGCTAATTTTTGTATTTTTAGTAGAGACAGGGTTTTGCCGTGTTGGCCAGGCTGGTCTTGAACTCCTGACCTCAGGTGAACCACCCACCTTGGCCTTTCAAAGTGCTGGGATTAGAGGCACGGGCCACAGCGCCCGCCCAAAGGCAGTTTTTTTTCACCCAATTTTTTCACTACTACCTAATCATGGTTTCCCCCAGGCTCTGCTAACAGTCTCCTCCTGTGTTTCCGGCCTCTAGCCCCAGACTGCACTATCAGCGCACTGCGTCTTAGGTGTTGGTTCTGCCAGCACCTGTCTTAGATGAGGCTGCTGTGTCAAAATTCCACAGACCAACTGGCTTCATAGCAGACATTTATTTCTCCCAGCTCTGCAGGCTGGGAGTCCAGCCTCCAGGTGCCACAGACCCAGTTCCTGGGGAGGGACCGCCCCTGGCTTATTTACAGCAGCCTCTTGCTCATGTGGCCGTCCCCATGCCTGCTCCTGGAGAGGAGGCTCCAGTGTCTCCTCCCTTGAGGATGCTCATCTCATCGTGACGATCCCCCAGGATCTTCTCTAACCTGCTCCCCTCCCAAAGGCCCCACCTCCAACACCGTCTTACTGGGGGTTAGGACTTTCACATGTGAACTGGAGGTGGGGAGCAAATATTCAGTCCATAGCAGCCCCCACTTTGGGACCCAGTGTCTCTATTAGAACTTGCTGGGTAATGGCCCACCCAAACACCTGGTGGCTCAGAACCGCAGGGACACGGTGCTCCTGTGGCTGCAGGTGCGAGGGCCCGAGTCCTGGCCTCCCCGGGACCTATTCCTTGGCTGTGCTCGGTTGCTCGGGGCTGCTGCGGTCCTGCATCCCCCAGGAGAGCCCTTCTGAGGTCACGGTTGCAGAAGGAAGCCCTTGTGATGCAGGCAGAGAAGAGAAAATCAGTACCTAAAGCATCTGACAGAAAAGGAAAAAAAATCCAAAAGAAACCATTTAGAATAGACTCAAAGGACATAACATACCTGGGACTGCACCTGAGGTGCTCACTTAGGTGATATTTAGGAAAGATGTGTAAGATTTCTACATGTAAACTTAGAGATGGGATGTTATTATTACAAATTTTTCTAAGCCAGGGTCACCCCTGCTGGAGGTAAGTGGTACAATCACAGCTCACTGCAGCCTCAGCCTCCCGGGCTCATCCTCCAGCCTTAGCCCCCGGGGGACTACCGGTGTGCACCACCATGCCCGGCTGTTTGTTTTTTTTTTTCTTCCTTGTTTTGGTAGAGACAGGGTCTCACTATGTTGCCCAGGCTGGTGAGATGGAGCGTTACTCGCAGACATGTAAAAACTCAAACAATGGCGGGTGTGCCCATCCGTGAATGGAGCAGGGGGTATCGGGAAGGCGTTGGGGCTCCTGGTTACTGTCAGTCGCCTGCGAGGCCCGAGCAGCAGCCGCTTTGTTCTTGTGATCATGGCTGAGTGGCATCCACAGTGTGAGTCTCCACCCGGCCCGTTAGCCAGCTCCGGCTGCAGGGCCTTGTGCGCCCTTTTCCGTCTGGGCAGCAGTGAATGAAGTTGCTCTAAGTCCCTCCCTGCTCTTGGTGCACTTCAGAGCGGGCTCACCAGGCCACAGGGTAACAGGAGAGGCTGAGTGTGCGGCATCCTCCGTCACAGAAACGCGTCTCGCACCAGCACACACAGCTGGCTTTCCCACTACTGTTGCCCGTCGATGGCACCACCCAGCTTTTCTCTGCCTGAGGGTGGTATCTGTCCACCTGGGGTTTCTACTCTGCATGTTTCATCTTTTCTTTTCCTTGAGATGGGGTTTCACTCATTGCCCAGGCTGGAGGATAATGCCATAATCTCAGCTCACTGCAACCTCCGCCTCCCGGGTTCAAATGATTCCCCTGCCTCAGCCTCCTGAGCAGCTGGGATTACAGGCGCACGCCACCACGCCTGGCTTATTTCTGTATTTTCAGTAGAGACAGGAATTCACCACATTGGCCAGGCTGGTCTTGAACCCCTGACCTTAAGTGATCCACTTGCCTCAGCCTCACAAAGTGCTGGAATTACAGGCGTGAGCCACCACACCCGGCCATGTTTTCTCTTTTATCCAGGTAGTCTGTGACTATCCAAACGAGGCTCTGACAGTCTGCAGAGATCGTGTCAGTCTGAAGAGAGCTGGGTTAAAGGCAGGTTGTTCGGGGTGAGAAGGGGACAGTGAGGCAGCGGGTGGTTGCAGTCTCACGTCTCAGAAGGATGCGCTGAGCAGGCCCAGGGTTTTGGGCAAGTGAGGTCCACAGCCCTCTAATGAGTACCTTTAGAGGCCACTAGCCTGCAAGTTCTGACGACGGGGACCGCCTTAGGGGCATCTCCCTGGAGCTCCCGCTCACCCCCATGCCCCTCACCCTGCTGTGTCCTGAGCTGTGGGTTGGGAGATGTTTCTGGACGGGACCAGACCCCGCAACCTGGACAGCCAGCTCTGGGCTCGGAATTGCTGGGCTTAACGTCCAGGCATGAAGTCAGCTCCTTGTGTGTCCTCATCTGTACAGTGATGGGAGGGCCCATCTCCACCGTCTCCTGCAAGGACAGACTCTGAGGTGACGTGGGTCGGGCCTGCACCCTCCGTGGCTTCCTTTCTGGAGTCTGGGCCTCCATGCCTTCATTTTCTGTGGAGCTGTTCAATGTCTGGGCACAGAAGCGCCTCTCTGGGAGCACAGGTGGGGACATGAGAGCGTCAGGGCCCCTGAAGTTGTTCTATCACAGGTCCCGGGAGGAGCTGGACCGGCTGCCTGAGCCCCTTGGGGCAGCGGCCTCCCAGCCAGTAAGCCGCAGTGCGAGAGGCTCGGGCCTGGAGCACCGAGGGCCCCACAGCAGGAGGGGTGGGGGTGCAGCCTCCAGGGCGTTGGGGTCCTCTCGGCTGACCAGGGGCCTCACACAGGGGGCTGCCAGCTGCCTCATGGGGTGGGTGGGAGCCCCAGTGTGAGGGAGACAGCTGCAGAGGCAGCCCCGAAAGCAAAGCGTGGAGCAGATGGCAGAGGGTCCCACTTGGCAGAGGAGAGGGCAGCAGAGGGTCCTGCGTTGTGGGTGGCAAGCTGCCCAGGTGCTGAGGCAAGAGACCGAGGGCACAAGCTGTTCCAGTGTAATAAAGAAAATAGGCCGGGCGCGGTGGCTCAAGCCTGTAATCCCAGCACTTTGGGAGGCCGAGACGGGCGGATCATGAGGTCAGGAGATCGAGACCATCCTGGCTAACAAGGTGAAACCCCGTCTCTACTAAAAAAATACAAAAAACTAGCCGGGCGAGGTGGCGGCGTCTGTAGTCCCAGCTACTCAGGAGGCTGAGGCAGGAGAATGGCGTAAACCTGGGAGGCAGAGCTTGCAGTGAGCTGAGATCCAGCCACTGCACTCCAGCCTGGGCGGCAGAGCGAGACTCCGTCTCAGAAAAAAATAAAATAAAGAAAATATAGGGAAGCTCGAACTGGGCAGAGCCCACCGCAGCTCAAGGGGGCCTGCCTGCCTCTGTAGACTCCACCTCTGGGGACAGAGCATAGCCAAACAAAAGGCAGCAGAAACTTCTGCAGACTTAAATGTCCCTGTCTCACAGCTTTGAAGAGAGCAGTGGTTCTCCCAGAACAGAGTTTGAGATCTGAGAACGGACAGACTGCCTCCTCAAGTGGGTCCCTGATCCCTGAGTAGCCTAACTAGGAGGCCCCCCCAGTAGGGGCAGACTGACGCCTCACACGGCCAGGTACCCCTCTGAGATGAAACGTGGAGAGGAACGATCAGGCAGCAACATTTGCTGTTCAGCAATATTCGCTGTTCTGCAGACTCCGCTGCTGATACCCAGGCAAATAGGGTCTGGAGTGGACCTCCAGCAAACTCCAACAGACCTGCAGCTGAGGGTCCTGACTGTTAGAAGGAAAACTAACAAACAGAAAGGACATCCACACCAAAACCCCATCTGTACATCACCATCATCAAAGATAAAACCACAAAGATGGGGAAAAAACAGAGCAGAAAAGCTGAAAATTCTAAAAATCAGAGTGCCTCTCTCCCTTCAAAGGAATGCAGCTCCTCGCCAGCAACGGAACAAAGCTGGACGGAGAATGACTTTGACAAGTTGAGAGAAGACTTCAGATGATCAAACTTCTCCGAGCTAAAGGAGGAAGTTCGAACCCATCACAAAGAAGCTAAAATCCTTGAAAAAAGATTAGACGAATGTCTAACTAGAATAACCAGTGTAGAGAAGTCCTTAAATGACCTGATGGAGCTGAAAACCATGGCACAAGAACTATGTGACAAATGCACAAGCTTCAGTAGCCGATTTGATAAACTGGAAGAAAGGGTATCAGTGATTGAAGATCAGATGAATGAAATGAAGCGAGAAGTTTAGAGAAAAAAAGAGTGAAAAGAAATGAACAAAGCCTCCAAGAAATATGTGAAAAGATCAAATCTACGTCTGATTGGTGTACCTGAAAGTGATGGGGAGAATGGAACCAAGTTGGAGGACACTCTGCAGGATATTATCCAGAAGAACTTCCCCAACCTAGCAAGGCAGGTCAACATTCAAATTCAGGAAATACAGAGAAGGCCACAAAGATACTCCTCAAGAAGAGCAACTCCAAGACACATAATTGTCAGATTCACCAAAGTTGAAATGAAGGAAAAAATGTTAAGGGCAGCCAGAGAGAAAGGTCAGGTTACCCACAAAGGGAAGCCCATCAGACTAATAGCGGATCTCTCGGCAGAAAATCTACAAGCCAGAAGAGAGTGGGGGCCAATATTCAACATTCTTAAAGAAAAGAATTTTCAACCCAGAATTTCATATCCAGCCAAACTAAGCTTCATAAGTGAAGGAGAAATAAAATCCTTTACAGACAAGCAAATGCTGAGAGATTTTGTCACCACCAGGCCTGCCCTACAAGAGCTCCTGAAGGAAGCACTAAACATGGAAAGGAACAACTGGTACCAGCCACTGCAAAATCATGCCAAAATGTAAAGTCCATCGATGCTAGGAAGACACTGCATCAACTAAAGAGCAAAATAACCAGCTAACATCATAATGACAGGATCAAATTCACACATAACAATATTAACCTTAAATGTAAGTGGGCTAAATGTTCCAATTAAAAGACACAGACTGGCAAATTAGATAAAGAGTCAAGGCCGGGCGCAGTGGCTCAAGCCTGTAATGCCAGCACTTTGGGAGGCCGAGACGGGCGGATCACGAGGTCAGGAGTTCGAGACCATCCTGGCTAACACGGTGAAACCCCGTCTCTACTAAAAAATACAAAAAACTAGCCGGGCGAGGTGGCGGGCGCCTGTAGTCCCGGCTACTCGGGAGGCTGAGGCAGGAGAATGGCGTAAAAACCCAGGAGGCAGAGCTTGCAGTGAGCTGAGATCCGGCCACTGCACTCCAGCCTGGGCGACACAGCGAGACTCCGTCTCAAAAAAAAAAAAAAAAAAAGACCCATCAGTGTGCTGTATTCAGGAGACCCATCTCATGTGGAGAGACATATGTAGGCTCAAAGTAAAGGGATGGAGGAAGATCAACCAAGCAAATGGAAAACAAAAAAAAAGCAGGGGTTGCAATCCTAGTCTCTGACAAAACAGACTTTAAACCATCAAAGATCAAGAGAGACAAAGAAGGCCATTATATAATGGTAAAGGGATCAATTCAACAGGAAGAGCTAACTATCCTAAATATATATGCACCCAATACAGGAGCACCCAGATTCATAAAGCAAGTCCTTAGAGACCTACAAAGAGACTTAGACTCCCATACAATGATAATGGGAGACTTCAACACTCCACTGTCAACCTTAGACAGATCAACGAGACAGAAAGTTAACAAGGATATCCAGGAATTGAACTCATCTCTGCAGCGAGCAGACCTAATAGACATCTACAGAACTCTCCACCCCAAATCAACAGAATATACATCTTCTCAGCACCACATCGCACTTATTCCAAAATTGACCACATAGTTGGAAGTAAAGCACTCCTCAGCAAATGTAAAAGAACAGAAATCACAACAAACTGTCTCTCAGACCACAGTGCAATCAAACTAGAACTCAGGACTAAGAAACGCAATCCAAACCACTCAACTACATGGAAACTGAACAACCTGCTCCTGAATGACTACTGGGTACATAACGAAATGAAGGCAGAAATAAAGATTTTCTTTGAAAGCAATGAGAACCAAGACACAACACATACCAGAATCTCTGGGACACATTTAAAGCAGTGTGTAGCGGGAAATTTATAGCACTAAATGCCCACAAGAGAAAGCAGGAATGATCTAAAATTGACACCCTAACATCACAATTAAAAGAACTAGAGAAGCAAGAGCTAGCAGAAGGCAAGAAATAACTAAGATCAGAGCAGAACTGAAGGAGATAGAGACACAAAAAAAAAACCTTCAAAAAAATCAGTGAATCCAGGTGCTGGTTTTTTGAAAAGATCAACAAAATTGACAGACCACTAGCAAGACTAATAAAGAAGAGAAGAGAGAAGAATCAAATGGACACAATAAAAAATGATAAAGGGGATATCACCACCAATCCCACAGAAATACAAACTACCATCAGAGAATACTATAAACACCTCTATGCAAATAAACTAGAAAATCTAGAAGAAATGGATAAATTCCTGGACACATATACACCCTCCCAAGACTAAACCAGGAAGAAGTTGAATCTCTGAATAGACCAATAACAGGCTCTGAAACTGAGGCAATAATTAATAGCTTACCAACCAAAAAAAATCCAGGACCAGACGGATTCACAGCCGAATTCTACCAGAAGTACAAGGAGGAGCTAATGCCATTCCTTCTGAAACTACTCCAATCAATAGAAAAAGAGGAAATCCTCCCTAGGTCATTTTATGAGGCCAGCATCATCCTGATATCAAAGCCTGGCAGAGACACAACAAAAAAAGAGAATTTTAGACCAATATCCCTGAGGAGCATTGATGCAAAAATCCTCAATAAAATACTGGCAAACCAAATCCAGCAGTACATCAAAAAGGTTATCCACCATGCTCAAGTGGGCTTCATTCCTGGGATGCAAGGCTGGTTCAACATACACACATCAATAAACATAATCCATCGTATAAACAGAATCAAAGACAAAAACCACATGATTATCTCAATAGATGCAGAAAAGGCCTTTGACAAAATTCAACAGCCCTTCATGCTAAAAACTCTCAATATGTTAGGTATTGATGTGACGTATCTCAAAATAATAAGAGCTATTTATGACAAACCCACAGGCAATATCATACTGAATGGACAAAAACTGGAAGCATTCCCTTTGAAAACTGGCACAAGACAGGGATGCCCTCTCTCACCACTCCTATTCAACATAGTATTAGAAGTTCTGGCCAGGGCAATCAGGCAGGAGAAAGAAATAAAGGGTATTCAATTTGGAAAAGAGGAAGTCAAATTGTCCCTGTTTACAGATGACATGATTGTATATCTTTTTAGATATACAATCGTGTATATCTACATCGTCTCAGCCCAAAATCTCCTTAAGCTGATAAACAACTTCAGCAAAGTCTCAGGATACAAAAATCAATGCGCAAAAATCACAAGCATTCTTATACACCAATAACAGACAAACAGCCAAATCATGAGTGAACTCCCATTCACAAAAGAGAATAAAATACCTAGGAATCCAACTTACAAGGGATGTGAAGGATCTCTTCAAGGAGAACTACAAACCGCTGCTCAGTGAAATAAAAGAGGGCACAAACAAATGGAAACACATTCCATGCTCACAGATAGGAAGAATCAATATTGTGAAAATGGCCATACTGCCCAAGGTAATTTATAGATTCAGTGCCATCCCCATCAAGCTACCAATGACTTTCTTCACAGAATTGGAAAAAAACTAAAGTTTATATGGAACCAAAGAAGAGCCCACATTGCCAAGTCAATCATAAGCCAAAAGAACAAAGCTGGAGGCATCACGCTACCTGACTTCAAACTATACTACAAGGCTACAGTAACCAAAACAACATGATACTGGTACCAAAACAGAGATATAGACCAATGGAACAGAACAGAGCCCTCAGAAATAATACCACACATCTACAACCATCTGATCTTTGACAAACCTGACAAAAACAAGAAATGGGGAAAGGATTCTCTATGTAATAAATGGTGCTGGGAAAACTGGCTAGCCATATGTAGAAAATTGAAACTGGATCCCTTCCATACACCTTATACAAAAATTAATTCAAGATGGATTAAAGACTTAAATGTTAGACCTAAAACCGTGAAAACCCTAGAAGAAAACCTAGGCAATACCATTCAGGACATAGGCATGGGCAAGGACCTCATGTCTAAAACACCAAAAGCAAAGGCAACAAAAGCCAAAATTGACAAATGGGATCTAATTAAACTAACGAGCTTCTGCACAGCAAAAGAAACTACCATCAGAGTGAACAGGCAACCTACAGAATGGGAGAAAATTTTTGCAATCTATTCATCTGACAAAGGGCTAATATCCAGAATCTACAAAGAACTCAAACAAATTTACAAGAAAAAAACAACCCTATCAAAAAGTGGGCAAAGAATATGAACAGACACTTCTCAAAAGAAGACATTTATGCAGCCAACAGACACATGAAAACATGCTCATCATCACTGGCTATCAGAGAAATGCAAATCAAAACCACAATGAGATACCATCTTGACACCAGTTAGAATGGCGATCATTAAAAAGTCAGGAAACAACAGGTGCTGGAGATGATGTGGAGAAACAGGAACACTTTACATTGTTGGTGAGACTGTAAACTAGTTCAACCATTGTGGAAGACAGTGTGGCGATTCCTCAAGGATCTAGAACTAGAAATACCATTTGACCCAGCCATCCCATTACTGGGTATATACCCAAAGTATTATAAATCATGCTGCTATAAAGACACATGCACATGTATGTTTATTGTGGCACTCTTCACGATAGCAAAGACTTGGAACCAACCCAAATGTCCATCAGTGATAGACTGGATTAAGAAAATGTGGCACATATACACCATGGAATACTATGCAGCCATAAAAAAGGATGAGTTCATGTCCTTTGTAGGGACATGGATGAAGCTGGAAACCATCATTCTCAGCAAACTATGGCAAGGACAAAAAACCAAACACCACATGTTCTCACTCATGGGTGGTAACAATGAGATCACTTGGACACAGGAAGGGGAACATCACCGGGGCCTATTGTGGGAAGGGGGGAGGGGAGGGATAGCATTAGGAGATATACCTAATGTAAATGACGAGTTGATGGGTGCAGCACACCAACATGGCACATGTATACATATGTAACAAACCTGCACGTTGTGCACATGTACCCTAGAACTTAAAGAATAATTTTAAAAAATTAAAAAAGAATAAGAAATTATGCTAGAAATATAGATATATGAATATTATTAATCATCAATTTGTAGCATTACTCTTTATTCCAATATAATAATAATCCTTGCTCTACAATCATAACCCAGGAAAAACCAGGCCATACAGAGAGAGGAGCTGAAGGGGCACCGTGAGCAGTGACCAGAAGTGTGAGCCTCTGTCATGCCCGGACATGGCCACTAGAGGGCTCCTTGGTCTAGCGGCAGCGCCAGTGCCTGGGAAGGCGCCCGTTACTTAGCAGACCGAGAAAGGGAGTCTCCCTTTCCCAGGGGAGTTAGAGAAGATTCTACTCCTCCACCTCTTGTGGAAGCCGCAGCCTCCGGAGGCCCATTAACTCTCCCCGTGGATAGCCTCTGCGCTTCCAGCGGTCACGCTCCTGTTTCGCTTTCATGTTCCGCCCTGTACACCTGGTCTGCCTTCTAGATAGCCATAGCAGAATTAGTGAACGTACTAAAAATCTTTGAAACGCATAGAAGAAATAATGGCATAAGCTGTCCTCTCTCTGCCTCAGCTGCCAGGTAGGGAAGGGCCCCCTGTCTGGTGGACACGTGACTTGCATGACCTTACCTATCACTGGAGACGACTCACACTCCTGCCCTTTTGCCTTGTATCCAATAAATCACAGCGCAGCCAGGCATTCGGGGCCACTACCGGTCTCCGCGTCTTGGTGGGAGTGGTCCCCCGGGCCCAGCTGTCTTGTATCTCTGTCTTGTGTATTTATTTCTATGATCTCTCGTCTCTGCACACAGGGAGAAAAACACACAGACCTTGTAGGGCTGGTCCCTACACCGCCTGGCAGAGGAGAGAGCGGCAGAGGCTCCCGCGTGGCAGAAGAGAGGCGGCAGAGGCTCCCGCGTGGCAGAGGAGAGGGTGGCAGAGGGTGCTGCGTGGCAGAGGAGGGGGCCACAAAAGGTCCCACGTGGCAGAGGAGGGGGCCACAGAGGGTCCTGCGTGGCAGAGGAGAGGGCAGCCGACAGGCAGCTCTGGGAGGATACAGGGTTAGGAAACTGAGGCAGGAGGCCATCATAAGAGCTACGTACAGAGAGTGTGGATGTGATGAAAACTAAACAGGGGCCATCGGGCTTAGTGACCAGGCAGTAACTGTGCCCTTCCTGAGTTCCAGGCACCGAAGAACTTGAAGAGTCCAGGCCCCTGCTGAGAGGGTGGCGCGTGTGCAAATGTGGGATCCTTGCCGAAGGTGCTCAGCCTCAGAGCACACGAAGGTGTATCTCCTCCCCCTCGAGCAGGAACCAGGGTCCAGGCTCGGACGCTGATTGGATGTGACAGCCCAGCGGACTCCGTGCTCGGTCTCCTCCCCCTCGAGCAGGAACCGGGGTCCAGGCTCGGACGCTGATTGGATGTGACAGCCCAGCGGACTCCGTGCTCGGTCTCCTCCCCCGTCAAGCAGGAACCCGGGGTCCAGGCTCGGACGCTGATTGGATGTGACAGCCCAGCGGACTCCGTGCTCGGGGGTGGAGGCAGTGCTTCAAAGGACAGGGCAGGCGTCAGGGACTTTTCTCTTTGAGATGGGGTCTTGCTCTGTTGCCCAGGCTGGAGTGCAGGGGCACAATCACAGCTCACTGCAGCCTCAGCCTCCACTCAAGTGATCCTTTGGCCTCAGGCCTCTAAAATACCAAGATCCCAGGTGTGAGCCACTGTGCCTGGCCTGGGGACTTTTTCTGTAGTGACACACAAACACTTCACACAACATGGCCTGGGGACTTTTTCTGTAGTGACACACAAACACTTCACACAACATTTTATTGTACAAAATTCCCCAATACTGCTTTAATAGTGAAAAAAAAAAAACCCACAAAAGAAGTTTCAACACAGACACAGCTCGTCATTAGAATTCAAAGTCTTCTCCTGCCATGGCGAGAGCCCAGGCGAACCTCTCCCGCTGTGTTTTGCTGTAGATCTTCTCCACTGGCACCCTGAATCGCTTGCACCTGTGGGAGGCAGTGTCAGCCCGGGCAAGCGGGCAATTCACCCACCTTGAAGGCCAGGTCAGGGCACTGGGGAAGGGCGAGCGTCCTCCGTGCGGCAGGGACACCAGAGCCGGCTGGGGTAGCTGGGGCCTGCTCCTCTAGGCCTGCCCCACCCCACGCATGCCGCCACCCTGGAGCATCAGTGAGGTGTCAGAGACAACCTGCTGTGGCCCAGGTGTCCACTGAACAAGGCGCCCAGCCACCTTCCACTCCCAGTGGGCAGGCTGAGCTCCACAGGCCCTGCTGATGACGCCGAGTCCCAGGCCACTGTCAGCACCCCCACCTCACCCTGTCCATCCCAACGTTCAGGACAGGGAGAACTGATGACACAGGACGCGGCATCAGGGGTCCCTGTCACAGGGAGGGCCTGCGCTGACCCCAGGGGACACAGGGGACACAGGGGTCAGCAGCAATGCTGGGACTGAACAGAGGCCTCTGGGAAACCCAGGCCCCCCGGAGGCCACAGGTGGGAACTGAGACCCCAGGCACACGTACCAGGCAATGCTGATCCTGGGGTCCAGGTAGTTGAGCTTGGATGTGCTGAGAGCCACCTGCTTGTTCTCCTCCTTGTCCGTGGCCTGCACACTCAGCCACGCCAGCTGCTCCTGCAGCTTCTCCAGGAGCCGCCTCTTCTTCTCCAGGACACTGGCAAGAGAAGAGGCTGCGAGGCCCCGCACTGGACTAGTGCCACGTGAGGAGACCTGCACTTCTCCAGCCCTGCCGCCTTCCCTCCCGGTGCAGCCCCGTCCTTAGCACTGTCGTCAGTCATCACAGCAAAAGACCAGCCAGGATCAAAGGCTGAAGCCCAGCCCCACCCCAGCTGCCAAGTCAGATACGGAGGAGCACCCTGGGCAGAGGGTGAGCAGCTCATCAGGACCTGACTCACAGGAGGGTGAGCAGCCCGTCAGCACCTGACTCAAAGGAGGGTGAGATGCTCGACACAACAGACCGAGGCCAGCCCAAACAGGACGAGGGCAGCGGGACTAGGCCCGAGAAAGCAAATACAAATGCCCTTTCACTTCCGGGAAGCCGCTCAGCCCTCCTTCCCAACCCCTTAGGGAAAGCACATTTCAACAGAGACGCCCCTTCCACATTACTCGTACCCTCCAATGCCACAACATCACCCATGCACGCAACCTTTGACCCCAACTCTTCTAGGAATTTTGGCCACAAACACACTCAAACATGCGTGGAAAGACACTTGGACCTGCAGAAATACGGCCGAGAAGGGGGCAGCCCGCCGAACCGGAAGCACAGGCCCTGGGAAGTGCCTTCCCAGCATGAGCCACATCCCCAAGGGCAGAGGGGCACATGAGGGGCTGCTGTTTATGTGAAAAAAAGGAGGGAAAACAGAGGGAGAGCCAGCATGCACACACAGTCCTTCTGGAAATGCTTAAGAAATTTCGTTTGTCTTTTTTTTTTTTTTCTTGAGACAGAGTCTCACTTTGTCACCCAGGCGGGAGTGCAGTGGCACAATCTCGGCTCACTGGAACCTCTGTCTCCCAGGTTCAAGTGATTCTCCTGCCTCCTGAGTAGCTGGGACTACAGGCATGTGCCACCACGCCCAGCTAAGTTTTTGTTTAGTTTTGTTTTGTTTTTGTATTTTTAGTAGAGATGGGGTTTCACCATGTTGGCCATGATGGTCTCAAACTCCCAACCTCAAGTGATCTGCCTGCCTCGGCCTCCCAGAGTGTTGGGATTACAAGCGTGAGCCACCGTGCCTGGCCAGGAAATGCTAAAGAAATTTCACGGCCGGGCGCGGTGGCTCAAGCCTGTAATCCCAGCACTTTGGGAGGCCAAGATGGGCGGATCACGAGGTCAGGAGATCGAGACCATCCTGGCTAACACGGTGAAACCCCCTCTCTACTAAAAAAAATACAAAAAACTAGCCGGGCGAGGTGGCGGGCGCCTGTAGTCCCAGCTACTCGGGAGGCTGAGGCAGGAGAATGTCGTAAACCTGGGAGGCGGAGCTTGCAGTGAGCTGAGATCCGGCCACTGCACTCCAGCCTGGGCGACAGAGTGAGACTCCGTCTCAAAAAAAAAAAAAAAAAAGAAATTTCACAGCAGCTGCCTCTGGGGACAGGTCAGGGGTGGGTCACAGCCTTATTTTTCACTGAATACCCTTTAGTCCAATGGACATTTCCTTCACACATGCCACTATTAAAAACAGACCCCTGCATCTCACGATGCTCGTCCTGAAAAGTTTTACCCTTTAAGAACCACAGCCATGCCAGGAGCAGTGGCTCACACCTGTAATCCCAGCACTTTGGGAGGTCGAGGCGGGCGGACCACGAGGTCAGGAGATTGAGACCATCCTGGCTAACATGGTGAAACTCTGTCCCTACTAAAAATACAAAAATTAGCCAGGCATGGTGGCGTGCACCTATAATCCCAGCTACTCAGGAGGCTGAGGCAGAAGAATTGCTTGAACCCAGGAGGCGGAGGTTGTGGTGAGCCGAGATGGCACCATTGCACTCCAGCCTGGGTAACAGAGTGAGACTCCATCTCAAAAAAAAGAACCACAGCCACAATAATGAGGAATGAATGAAAGAGGGAACATCACAAAGAAAGAAAAAAGATAATATGGGAACACTGTGAATAACTGGGCACCGGCCAGTTAGACTAAACAAATTCCCAGAAAGATACAAACTACCAGAACTGACTCACGAAGTATAGAAAATATGAGTAGAACTAGAACAAGTGATTGTATCAGTAACTTTAAACTTCTCTCAAAGAAAAGCCCAGGCCTAGATGGTTTCACCAGTGAATTCATTTAACAAACTGACCCTAGCCACACACAGCAGTGCAAGCCTATAGTCTCAGCTATTTGGGAAGCTGAGGTGGAAGGATTGCTTGAGCCCAGGAGTTCAAGACCAGCCTGAGCAACACAGCAAGACTCTCTCTCTTTAAAAAGGCACCAATTTTTCATAAACTTTCATGAAATATTAGATATTATATTAAATATTAATTCAACTCATTACCAGCATTACCTGATACCAAAATCAATGACATCATAAGAAAACTATAGACTAACATGCTCATGAATACAGAAGCAAAAACCTCAACAAAATATCAGCAAACTGAATCCAGCAATGGACAAAAATGATTACACAATAGGATCAAGTAGGATTTATCCCAGGAATGCAAGGATGGTTTCACATCTGATCATCAATTAGTATAATACATCCTATCAATATAAGGAAGGGACAAAAACAAGACCTCAACAGGTGCAGAAAAACCATTTGACAAAATCCAATGCTCTTCATGATTAAAAAAGACCTCAACAAACTAGGAATAGAAGTAAATTTTGTTAACTTGACAAACAGCTTCTGTGAAAAACCTACAGTTAACATGATATTCCGTGATAAAAGCATGAGAATTTTGCCCCCAGTATCAGGAACAAGGCAAGGATGTCCCACTCATGTCCAGTGTGCTGGAGATTCCTGCTAGGTCCATAATGCAAAAATATGAAATAAAAGGCGTATGATTGGAAAAGAAATAAAACTATCTCTGTTTGCATACAATATGGCCTTTATAGATACAGTCCTAAGGGCCAGGCACGGTGGCTCATACTTGTTTTTTTTTTTTTTTTTTTTTCGAGACGGAGTCTCGCTGTGTCGCCCCGGCTGGAGTGCAGTGGCCGGATCTCAGCTCACTGCAAGCTCTGCCTCCCGGGTTTTTACGCCATTCTCCTGCCTCAGCCTCCCGAGTAGCCGGGACTACAGGCGCCCGCCACCTCGCCCGGCTAGTTTTTTGTATTTTTTAGTAGAGACGGGGTTTCACCGTGTTAGCCAGGATGGTCTCGAACTCCTGACCTCGTGATCCGCCCGTCTCGGCCTCCCAAAGTGCTGGGATTACAGGCTTGAGCCACCGCGCCCGGCCGGCTCATACTTGTAATCTTAGAGCTCTGGGAGGCCAAGGCGGGATTGCTTAAAGCCAGGAGTTCAAGAGTAGCTTGAGCAACATACAAAAATTTTCTTAGTGTAAAAGTTAGCCAGGTGTGGCGGTTCACACCTGTGGTCCCAGCTATTCAGGAGGCTGAGACATCTGGCTGTCCACATACAAGAGGATGACCCTGGGCCCTTCCCTCAGATCACACACAAAAATTAACTCAGAACCAATGACCCAAATGTAAGAGTAAACCTATAAACCTCTTAGGAGAAAACAGAGAAATCTATCTTCATGGCCTTGGGTTAGGTAAAGCCTTCTTGGACATGACACAAAAATAAGCTACAAAAGAAAAAAAAAAAAAACAGATAAACTGGACTCATTCAAATCTTAAAATGTGTCACAGGACACCAACAAGAAAGAACAAAGACATTGCCGGGCATGGTGGCTCATGCCTGTAATCCCAGCACTTTGGGAGGCCGAGGTGGGTGGATCACCTGAGGTCAGGAGTTCAAGACCAGCCTGACCGATATGGTGAAACCCCATCTCTATTGAATTACAAACATTAGCCAGGTGTAGTGGTGTGTGTCTGTAGTCCCAGCTACTCGGGAGGCTGAGGCAGGAGAATTGCTTGAACCCAGGAGGCAGAGGTTGCAGTGAGGCAAGATCGCGCCACTGCACTCTAGCCTCGGCGACAGAGCAAGACTCCATCTCAAAAAAAAATGGGGGGGGTTGCTGGGCATGGTGACTCACACCTGTAATCCCAGCACTTTGGGAGGCTGAGGCGGGCAGACTGCCTGAGCTCAGGAGTTCAAGACCAGCCTGGGCAACACGGTGAAAGCCCGTCTCTACTAAAATACAAATAATTAGCTGGGCATGGTGGTGCCGCCTATAATCCCAGCTACTCAGGAGCCTGAGGCAGGAGAATTGCTTCAACCCGGGAGGCAGAGATTGCAGCGAGCCGAGATCACACCATTGCACTCCAGCCTCGGCGACAGAGCAACACTGTGTCTCCAAAGGAAAAGAAAAAAAAGAACAAAGACAACCCAAGAGTGGGAGAAACATGGACGAGCTCTGCCAGGTCAGTAATAAAGTGACCACCCGACCAAAACATGGACAGAGGATCTGAGCAGTCATTCTCCAGAGACGATACAGAAACGGGCAACAAGCACCTGCCAAGAGCACCCGCGATCTGACCCACTTCACACCCACTGGGCTCTGATCGACACACGGAAAACTGACCCTACAGTGGCGCCGGGACAGAGGAGTCGGGGCCCTCACGTGCTGCTGGTGAGGAGGGGATGGTGCCGCCGCCCTGGAGAAGAGTCTGGCACCTTCTTCTCATTTCCTGACCCCACAAAGACAATCACAAACCTCAGCGGCCAGGGTCTCCTCCTCCCATGGCTCCGTATGTCCCACTCTTGTCCACAAGGCATAGAGTTTGTATTTTGAAAAATCACAAAGTTGGCCAGGCGCGGTGGCTCAGGCCTGTAATCCCAGCATTTGAGATGCCGAGTCAGGAGGATCACTTGAGGCCAGGAGTTTGACCAGCCTGGCCAACATGGAGAAAACCCGTTTCTACTAAATAAATGAATTAACCGGGCATGGTGGTGCACGCCTGTAATCCCAGCTACTTGGGAGGCTGAGGTAGGAATCACTTGAACCTGGGAGGTTTTTATAAAAATAAAAAAATCACAAAATAACAATTGAAGAGGAAAACAAAACTGGCCTTGGGAAGGCGGGTCCAAAGCTGCCACATCTGGGTTGGGACAGGGCCCCGGGAGACGGCGTCTGAGGTCACGGGTACTCACCTCCTGGACTTGCCATCCCCTTGGGCTTTGTGCTCGGCCCTGGCCTTCCTCAGTTCTGCCCTGGCCTCAGCCACCTGCTCCTTCTTCACCTGGATCTGCAGGGAAAGGGTCCAGACAGGGCTGCCCCTCCCTGTCCCACACCAGCCGCTGCGCCCACACCCTCCCACACCCTCCATGCCCACCACGGCTGGCTCCCCGGCCTGTGCCGAGGCTCCGGGAAGCGGGGAGGGGTCCCTTGAGGGCTGGGCTGGGGGCTCTCCTGGGAGCTGCTACCTTGGTCTGGAGATTCTGCATCGACTTCTCAAACGTGCTGGAGGTCGCTCGCTGATGGTTGCAGAGAATGGCCACGGCTCGGTTGGCTCGGTTGTAGGATAAGATCTTGGCTGCTATGCTGTCCTCGGCTGAGAGGCACGGGCTGTCAGAAGCAGCACCCATGGGGCAGCCGCCCTCCCTGTCTGCCCTGAGTCGGACTTACTCAACGCACCACACAGCACAGCCCCTTCCGCTCACACAGGCACCCGCTGGGATGGGGAGAGCGAGGGCCGAGGGTCAGTGACCCTCCGAGGTGGCCCCGAGAGCAGGGCCCAGCGTCTTTAACCACAGCAAGGCCTCAGGTGTGGCCGCAGCACAGGTAGCACCACCCAGGCCTTCCAAAGCCCTGTAGCAAGAAGGAGGCCCAGCCACCTGGACAGGTGAGTCTGCGGGGCCCTGCCTGTCACAAGTCCCCAGCACCTGGTTTCCCTGGCAACATCCCCTCAAGGTACCATGTTGTCTCCATTTTCCAGTCAGGAACGAGACTCAGAGAACGTAAGCACTGGCCCCAGACACCTGCTGGAGCGGCCACTCCTTCACACCCCTCCTGCACAGCCCCCCAGCTCTGGAAGTGCGTCCGCAGGGGGCCCAGCACCTTCGTTTCCTCGCCCAGGCCCAGCCTCGGCCCCTACGTCCTCACCCAGAATCTCCTGCCTCCCTCGGTGGAGGGAGCATCTCTGCTGGGGCTCTCGCCTGGATGCCAGCCGGCTCCTTCACATCCCACAGCCCAACGCTGCCCCAGCCGGCTCCTTCACATCCCACAGCCCAACGCTGCCCCAGCTCGCAAGGGTGTCCCCAGGGCAGCACAGCACCGGCCTGAGGCCCATGGGTGCACACAAAACACAGGCCGAGCGTCAGTGCCCCTGAGTGCCTGGACTCGGTGCCTCCTCCAGGAAGCCCTGCTTGGGGAATGCGGAGGGCACCGGGGTGGGAGGCACCCTCTGGACGAGTCTGTGCATCTGATCTGCCCGGACATCACGGAGCAGCCCGGACATCACCACGGAGCAGCCCGGACATCACCACGGAGCAGCCCGGACATTACGGAGCAGCCCAGACATCACCACGGAGCAGCCCGGACATCACGGAGCAGGGGCAGCGCCAAGGGCAGAGGGAGGAGAGGCCCTCGCCGAGCTTGGACGGCCTCCCCAGGTTGATGGCAGGGGACTAAGAGCAGAAGCTCTAAGCTCTAAGAGCAGAAGCTGAGGCAGGGGCTGCGGACAGACGCCCAGAGGTCAGGGTGCTCAGACAGCTGAGGGCGGGAGGGGCAGAACCACCGCAAAGTGCAGAGGCCTCCTGGGCCTTCAAGAAAGAACCCTGAGGAGGAGCTGAGGAACAACCGCCTCAGCAGCAGGGGCTCCCCGCAGGGAGCACATGGCTGGGATGCCTGGGGTCCCGAGGGCCAGCACTTCCCTCCTCCTCCCCAGGACTCCGGCCACCCAGGCCGCCAAGCAGCCAGCCCACAGCCTCAGCCCATGTCCCAAAGAAGCGGCCCCACCCCGAGGCTCACTCAACAAGGGCCAGCAGGGGAGCCCTGCCTGGGGCAGGGGCCACGCTCCCCGGCGTGAGTGTGGGTGTGGGGCCTGCTCACCACGTGTCAGGGCCCGCAGCTGCTCCTGCAGAGTGACGGAGGCGTTGTAGGTCCGGAACACCTTGGCCGTCAGCCCGTCCATCAGCTCGTGGAGGTGTTTGTTCAGGCTGGTTGTCTGGGGAGGAAATGGTCTCTATAATTACATGGTTTTGTGGGGCCGTCCCAGCCTCCCACGGAAAGGAAAGGGCATTTCAGCCGTCGGGTCAGACCAAACCCTGGGCCTTGCTATGAGAGATGGAGCCAGACTCAGCAGCCACACCCTCTCGCCGGGTCCTGCCACCGCCCACTGCTGAGGAAACACGAGCCGGCTTACGGTGAGCCTGTCGAAGAGGTCGTCCTGGGGGTCCTTGTTCTTCATAAAGAGCTGTAAGTTCTTGTACACCTGAAGGAGAAAGAAGGAATTTCAGAGGACAGAAGAAACCCGAATCAAGGGAGGGCATGAAGGGCATCTATGCAGAGCCTGGAAGCCCACGGGAGGCTTCCCTGAGGAAGGTGGCCCGAGCAGCATCACTGTCACCTGTCGGCATCCTCCCCCGACACGGCCCCTGCCCTCCAATGCGGCCGTCACCGCTAACACATGTACGGGCGGCGTGCTCAGGAGGTGGGTGCAACTCCTGCCCTGCGGTTAGTTCCCCTGGGTGACCGCGGCAGGTGGCCCGGAGTCCCCAGCTCCTTCTTCCATCCATGCCGGATTTCCACCAGGTGACCCCACACCCTTGTAATGTGGGACACTCATCTGACATCACAGGACCTCAGGACCTTTGGGGTGCCCGTGTCCAACCTCCCTCCACCAGTCCCTTTGGGGAGAGGACACTCATTCCCTTCTGATGAGACCAACTCTGCTCCGAGGAAACACCAGCCTGCGCCTGCACCTGCCTGCCCTCCCCTTGGTTTCACCTGCTGGTCCTCCCTGAGCGCTGGGCATCGGCTCCAGCGCGGAGGTTGCTGTGGCGTCTGCACTGCTCTCTCCAGCATGGCAGCCCTCCCTCACCAGACACAGGCAGGAGGCCCCACACCCCCAGCCGACCCCCTTACCATCCTTGTACCACAGCTGATGAACCCCATTTGACAAACCCACAGGCACCAGGACACGGCGGGAAGCCCCGGCCCACAGCTCCCGACTTCCGGCTTCTTCCCTCATCCTCCTCCACACGTTTGGTTTCATACCGCTGATCCTGACCAGGCTTTACGTCCCGCCTTTTCTTTTTTTTTTTTTTATTTTTTTTTTCTTTTTTTTTTTTTTTTTTGAGACAGAGTCTCGCTGTGTCTCCCAGGCTGGAGTGTGCAGTGGCGTGATCTCGGCTCACTGCAAGCTCCGCCTCCCGGGTTCACGCCATTCTCCCGCCTCAGCCTCCCAAGCAGCTGAGACTACAGGCGCCGCCACCACGCCCGGCTAGTTTTTTGTATTTTTAGTAGAGACGGGGTTTCACCATGTTAGCCAGGATAGTCTCGATCTCCTGACCTCGTGATCCACCCGCCTCGGCCTCCCAAAGTGCTGGGATTACAGGCTTGAGCCACCGCGCCCGGCCAACGTCCCGCCTTTTCTTTAGGCCACATGCATTCCATTACCGAGTGCTCCCCTCAACAGCACTGTAAATGGCTGGCTAGTCCTGTCTGGACGGAGTGCGACTCCCCGTCCAGGCCTGCACCGCGGCCGACGCTTCACCGTGGCAGGGGCACTGCAGTGAGCTCCCCCTCGCCTCTTCCTTTTGTGTGTTGGCTTTTGTCTCCTACCTCCAATTAACTCATCCCTTAGGACTGACTTCCCGACCAGACTGCCTGAGGCCTGGCCCTGCCAGGGACTCCTGTTTCTCTGTTGCCATTTCTGTTTTTGAACGGCTCCACCCCATCCCATAGTGGGGTCACATTACTTTTTTGTTGTTGTTTAATTTTTGGAGACTAGGTCTGGCTCTGTCACCTGGGCTGGCGTGCAGTGGCACGATCATAGCTCACTGCAGTCTCCAACTCCTGGGCTCCAGCAATCCTCTCACCTAGCCCTCCCAAGGTGTCTGGACTACAGGCATGGGCCTTGCGCCCGGCCTGAGTCACATTTGTGCTTTTGAGGTGCAGGGAGGTCGTGCGTGGATCTGTCCAACGTCACTGCGATGTGGTGCCCACCCACAGAGGGGATACCATCACTCTTCAGGACAGCCATTACAAAGGTGAGGGTGCTCCCCAAATTCCAATCTTGCTTCAAGCCAGTCTGGAGACCAGAGATTTACCCAGCCCTTCCCGACCGCACTCATTCCTCTGGGCATCGATGCTAGTGGAGCAAGGGGCTGTGGGGGTGGTGGGCAGCCACAGGCTTAAGTCCCGCCCATAGCCCCTGCAGCAGAGGAAAGCGGGCATGGTGGCAGCCCCTCCCAGGTGCACTGGCGTGAAAAGTGTCCCCCAAATTCGTGTCCTCACCAGAACCTCAGAATGTACCTTTTTTTATTTTTTTAAGACAGGGTCTCGGCCAGCCGCAGTGGCTCACGCCTGTAATCCCAGCACTTTGGGAGGTTAAGGCGGGTGGATCACAAGGTCAAGAGTTCAACACCAGCCTGGCCAACATGGTGAAATCCTGTCTCTACTAAGAATACAAAAATTAGCCGAGCATGGTGGCGGCGCCTGTAGTCCCAGCTACTCGGGCAGGAGAATCGCTTTAACCCAGGAGGTGGAGGTTGCAGTGAGCTGAGATCACACTACTGCACTCTAGCCTGGGCAACAGCATGAGACTCTGTCTCAAAAAAAAAAAAAAAAAAAAAGACAGGGTCTCATTTTGTCACCCAGGCAGGAGTGCAGTGGAGTGATCAAGGCTCACCACAGCCTCAACCTCCCAGGCTCAAGCAATCCTCCCACCTCAGCCTCTGGAGTAACTGGGACCACAAGCATGCACCATCACGCGCAGCTAATTTTTATTTATTTATTTTGAGACAGAGTCTTGCTGTCGCCCAGGCTGGAGTACAATGGCACGATCTCAGTTCACTGCAAGCTCTGCCTCCCGGGTTCACGCTATTCTCCTGCCTCAGCCTCCCGAGCGGTTGGGACTACAGGCTCCCAACACCACGCCCAGCTAATTTATTGTATTTTTAGTAGAGACAGGGTTTCACCATGTTGACCAGGAGGGTCTCGATCTCCTGACCTTGTGATCCGCCCACCTCGGCCTCCCAAAGTGCTGGGATTACCAGCGTGAGCCACCGTGCCCGGCTGTTTTTTTATTATTTTAGAGACAGGGTCTCATATGTTGCCCAGGTGGTCTCAAACTCCTGGGCTCAAGTGATCCTCCCACCTCAGCCTCCCACAGCACTGCAATTACAGGAGTGCACCACCATGCCAGGCCAGAACGTGACCTTATTTAAAAATAGAGTCTTTAAAGACTGTTACGACGAACACATAGAAAGAGTGGGGTGGGCCCTAACTCCAATACGACAGCGTCCTTGTGAGAAAACACAGAGGCAGAGACGCAGCGAGAGGCAGCCTCAGACCAAGGACACCCAGGATCCGTGGTCCCACCGGATGCTGGGAAGGCAGGAGGATCCTCCCCGAGTGTGGGTAGAGTGCGGTTCTGCCAGCACCTTGACTTGGACTCTGGCCCCCAGGACTGAGCGACAATAAATGTCTGTTGTTAAACCACTGGGTCTGCAGTGTCTTCCTCCAGCAGCCCTGGGAGATGCTCCAGCCGGGGGGCAGGAGACAAAGATGGTGTGACAGAGGCACCCTGCTCACCCCCGACCAGCTCCCTGGTGACCCCTTGGGTCTACCATGGGGCATAGCCTCTCCTTCACCCTCACCCTCATCAGCCCCAGCACAGCGGGCCTCACCCAGCAGACAGGACGTGGCAAATGGGCCACAGACCCCACGGCAGCTCTGGCACGACCCCAAAGACATCCAGAGCAAATACGTGTCACGTAGGGAGGAGCAGCCGGCCGCGAGGGCACTTACAGGCTTCTCCACCGGGACTCTGTTGTAGTAGCGGATGGAGTCCTTCCCCAGGAAGTCAAATTCCACCACGTGCTGGCAGCCGTCAGCCTCCGGGTGCAGCTGGACGTGCTCCACGCGGAGAGAACAGCAGCCCACCGTGTCGGCCGCCTCACCGTCGTCCTTCTCATTTCCCGCTCTCAGCGCCAGCTATTTGGTGGGGAACAAAGTGGGTGGTGCATGCACATGCACGCCACACACATGCACACCACACATGCACGCCACACACATGCACGCCACACACATGCACGCCACACGCACGCCACACGCAGGCACGCCACACGCAGGCACGCCACACACAGGCACACCACACACATGCACGCCACACACATGCACGCCACACGCAGGTGCACATCACACACAGGCACGCCACACACAGGTGCACGCCACACACATGCACACCACACACAGGCACGCCACACACATGCACGCCACACACAGGGCACATCACACACATGCACACCACACACAGGCACACACACAGGCACGCCACACACATGCACACCACACACAGGTGCACACCACACACAGGCACGCCACCCATGCATGCCACACACATGCACACCACACACAGGTGCACGTCACACACATGCACGCCACACAGCCACGCCACACATGCATGCCACACACATGCACGCCACAGGCACACCACACACATGCACACCACACACATGCACGCCACACACAGGCACACCACACACATGCACACCACACGCACACCACACACATGCACAGCACACACAGGTGCACATCACACAGGTGCACATCACACACATGCACATCACACACAGGCACGCCACATGCACACCACACACAGATGCACACCACACATAGATGCACACCACACAGACACGCCACACGTGCACACACACCACACAATGCACATGCACACCCTACACACATTCACACCCACACACGTGCACACGCACACACACCATCAGACTGCGGTTCCACCCCACACACAGGCCCACATCGCCACACTGTGCCATCCAACTGGGTGTCCTCGCCAGGAGAGCCAGGATGAGGAGCCCCAGGAGGCGAGAAGGCCGCGTACCTTATCGATGAAATACAGGGCCACCGCCCGCTGTCTCGTCTTCATTTCCTGAGACTTCCAATCAGCCTGGTACTGGGAGCGGATCTCGTCCACAAATCCCCGCAGGCGTCGAGCTGTTTCAAACTTCTGCCAAGCTTTCTCCCCCTAAATGAAAAAAATAACAGGAAAGAAAACATTCGTATTCCTGTTAAATAATGGAGGAGGCTGTCAACTCTCCCTGCCCCAAACCTCGTGCTTCTCCACTCGATGGTGGAGTGGTCAGGGGCTGGGGCAGCAAATCCAGCTGGGTGATGCTGGCAGTGAGCACCCACGTCCACTCCTGGCTTTGGGGCTTGTGGCTGCTGGCACAGCATGACATCAGCGCGGGCTGGCCGACTCCCAGCCCATCTCAGAAGCCTCTGCCGGTGCCCGGCTTACATACCTCCCTGCCAGCGTCCTAAGGGAGACCTCCCGGGGAGGAAACGCCCTGCTGAGCCCCGCGCTCACCTTCAGCTTCGAGCAAGGGTTCAGCATGACGTACTTGATGGAGTTCTGAATGCTCTCGGTCCACGCTGCCAGCCACGTGACAGTGTTATCGGAGCGCACCTCCTTCCACTGGTGCCCCGCCGGTGGCTTGGGGATCTTCGAGTCCCTGCAGCAGAACAATGACACAAACATAACTTGGAGACCTTATTCTCTGGAATGCAAGCAAAAGGAGCTGCTCTGCTCAACCATCCCACTTGGTGGCCATGGTAGTGGCATGGCTCCTGACCGAGTCTGGCATCAGAGGTGGCCTGCCTGGCAGCTCAGACAAAAGCAGCCGCTCAATCTGCGCTCTGCACACACAGGAAGGCCACGGTGCACCAGGAGGCTGGGCGGCCACCCAAGCAAGGGATCGCTCTGTTCAAACCTCTCAGCACCAACTGGGATGAAGAGTGCCCTGCTCCACACAGCCTGGCCACTGGAGGTCCTGCAGGCAGGGTCCCTACTCCACACTGCGGTCACACGGTACAACAGGCGGCCCAGCAGTCCCCTCTCCACCACTTGGACTGTCCCTCCAACAAGTTCAAAACACCTAATGCCACTGGGCCGTCCAGATGCTGTGGGATACGAAAACCACACGGGGTGTCCTTGGCAGGAGAGTCTCAGCCACAGCAAGGCGAGAACTTCTGACCCCGTGGTACGCACCCTGGGAGGGCCGCCCTTGCCCGGCCACACCCGCAGGCTGAGCTCCACAGGAATGGTGTGGGGGTCACCAGCCACACGTTTCTCAGTGTGCCTCCCTCTCCCAGGAGGTGAAGAAAAGCCAGACTCACCCAGGTGGCAGGGATCCAGCACCTGCCTGCTGCCCGCCCGGCCACGTACCTGCTGCAGTTGATGACCACATCCTCCGGCATGACCCTCCTCTTCAACATCCCCATCTTGGGATGGTCGCCACGGCCACGGAACAAGCCGGGCGGCTCAGTCTTGAAATTGCCTATTTTTTCTCGGTGACCATCTAAAATACAGTAGCCAAACTCTTGCTGAAGTTTTTCGGCCTCTTCTTTTAGCTTCTGAGTTAATAGAACAGTCAGTAGACATTAGCAGTGAAGAGAAGAGGACAGGCCTCAGTCCCTTGTTGCTCACCTGGGACCACCCTGCTCTGGCTAACTCAGCTGGGCCCTCAAAGCCCTTCACAATCCATGGAGGTCGCAGGGGCAAGGGACAGTGCAGGTGGGCACACAGGGGGCACCAGGAGCCACGGCCCAACCACCCCATGGTCTGGACTCCCCGGCCCCTGCGCAGGCTTCGGCTGTTTTAGGCCTGAGCAGTAAAGCCGGGGGAGGGAGCGTGGCTGCCCGCCATGGAGCTCGCGAGGAGAGCTAAGGGAATCCCTGAGAAGGCCACATGGAGATCACAGCACGGCAGGTTCCTGTTAGATGGAGGGAGACGCATGGCACAGTACCGCGAGAAGCCGACTGGCCTGCACAAGCCCCGCCCTCAGCCCACAACCCATCTGGGAACCCACCCTTTATCAATGATGGTAAATCACTCATCCATTTCAAACTGGGTTTACTCTCAAATGTGCTCTGGGGAAGCGGAACGACACTTCAGCACACGCAGGGGCACTAAGGCTGCCGAGCCAAGAGCAGCTTTGTGAGAAGGGGCTTCTCTAAGGCCACAGGCCTTTCTCAGCCTTCGGGCCAGGCTGGCCTCTCATTCCCAGGGGCCACTTTGGGTCACACAACGCTCGAGTCAGCCCAACCTGCTTCTCCTCCCTGGTCAGCACTTTCCGGGCTGCGGCCTTGTCCACAAAGTATCTGTGGATCTCTGTGAAGTCACACTTGTCCAGGCTCTTGATGACTTCTCTCTCTTCCACTGTCATTTCCTGCACAAACCACAGACACGCACTCACCATGTCTGACGGAGGCGTGCGTGCGACGGGCAGAACCTGTGCAGGCCTGCGGTCCCGTGAACAGAGCCTCTCCCCGCAGACCCCACAGTTAGAGCTGGGTCTGTTGTTGCAGGGGTGGAGTGGGGTGGAGCAGCCGAGGGCACAGTTCTCCAAAAGCAACTTCACAACAAGTCAGGAGTAAAACTGGCTAAAACCTTTGACTCAGTAATTCCACTTTGAGATCCATCCTAAGTAAACTCTCCGGTATGAAAACGAGCATGACGACGGCACTAAGGGCAACAGCAGAAACGCCATGACCGGACAGAGCGGGATAAATGATGGGGAGCTCATTTGGTGAGCGTGATGGGATTCAGGAGGCCAAAGTCTCAGTCCATACGTGCTGCTGCAACGAAATCCCGGGGACGGGTCAGTGATAAACACAGTCACAGCTCTGGGGGCTGGAAGGCTGGGATCAGGGCCCCGGCATTTGATGTCTGTGGAGGACCCAGTCCCTGCTTCTGAGAGGGTGCCCTGAAGGCTGTCCTCACGCAGTGGAGCGGGGACAGAAGGACAGAAGGGGCCCAGCTAATTCCACCCAGCCCTGCCCTAAGGCCCTAAATTAATCCTAAGGGCTGCAGCAAGGCAGTGTCCTCACAGCCCAATCAGCTCCTGAAGGCCCCACCTCTGTCCTGTGGCGCTGGGGATTCAGTTTCAAGGTGAATTTTGGAAACCACAGAAGAAAACAGTTTGGTGATGATCTACCCGTGTGGAGACTAAGCAGGATAAAATCCCGAGTGGGGAAAACATTACATGCACACTGATCACACTCACACGAAAACTAGTGCCCAGGAGAAGCCAGGACATGGGAACAGGAGACGCTGACCTGAGGGAGAGCCGCAGGTCACAGGCAACTGTTTCTCCTCTCATTTCCTACACAACAAAAACTCTGTACAGCCCATGGCCAAAAGCCCAGGCTTGCGGGCACCAGCTCACGGTCCCAGTCCAGGCTCGGCCACTCAGGCGTGTGAGACCTCAGGAGCTGCTGCTAAACCGTGTCTCACTGTGGGATGGGGACGACCCGCCTCTGCCGAGGAGCTCAGGTGCGACACCATCTGTGCCGGATGGAGCCCTGCTCGGCCACAACCGCGGGCTCAGGTCTGTCCCTGTGTCTCCCGGGGCCCTCGGATCGACCATCTGTGCCGGACGGAGCCCTGCTCGGCCACAACCGCGGGCTCAGGGTCTGTCCCTGTGTCTCCCTGGGCCCTCGGATCTACCGCCCATTCCAGTTCTGCTGCCTTGCGACACTGCCTCCCTTCCTAGCTCTGCTAGTGACTAGAAGTGCTAACCGGGAGGGGAGTGAGGACACCGGGCAGCTGGCGCCACCTCACCAAGCCGTGGTGACAGGCAGAGGGATGGCATCAGGACAGAGGAAGAGGGTCCAGAAGCAGAGCCCACACAGGGCACAAGGAAGCACAGGCTCCAGCAGCTGGCTCGGGGCAGTCAGACACCCACATGCAAAGCACGAGCCTCGGCCTCTACCCCACACAGTAACCAAAATTAACTCAGAGTTCCACCTAAACTAAGCCGACCTCAATGGAAACCTAAAACCAAGACTTCTGGGAAAAACGTAGGAGGAAATCTTTGTGCTGCTGAATTAAGCATATTTCTTAGACAAAACAACAAAAGCACAACCTGTGACAAAACATGATACACGGGACCTAGTCAGTATTCCAAACTCCTGACCTTCCAAAGACATTGTTAAGAGAATGCAAATATAAACTACAAACACCACGAAAAAGTTTTACAAATCCTATTTCTGATAATGGACTTAAAACAGGACACAAAAGTACTCACCATAAAAGAGGCTGATAAACTCAATAACTAAGTTAACATTTTCTGCTTGGAGACCTCACTGAGAAACGAAAAGGCAAAGTCTGGGAGATGATATCACAGCACGTGCAACCGGCAAAGAAGCTGTATCCAGAATGCATTTTCAGAACTCCGATAAATTAGCGAGGAATATGCAAGCAACTCAATTTTTTAAACAGACAAAAGTTCACAAACGAAAATACTGAAATGACACATCGGCACACCAAAAGATGCTTAAATATCACTTCTCATTAGGGAAACGCAAACCATACCCACGGTGAGGTATCACCTCGTGCCCACTAGAGAGGCGCCTCACACCCGTGGCAGGCATGTGGACAGTTCAGCCTGGCGTTTCCAGTAAGCTGGACACACATGTAGCCCGTGACCCAACAACTTCACCCCTAAGTCCTGTGGGAATGTTCATGGCAGCTTTACACACGCAAAGGCCAAAAACAGGAATTAATCAAACACCCACGAACAGGGAAATGGACTAGCATGAGTCACACGACGCAGGAAACGGGACCTGACCAGAGCCAGGCAGAAGCCGTGGGACAGCAAGTCAGGGGCAAGTCTTGCAGGTGTGGTGCCGACAGAAACCCCACAGGGCACAAAGCCAAGAGGGAGCACCCTCCCCTCCAAAGAGCTTCTCACCAAACCTGTCTTCCCGGGGGCTGGGAAATGGCAGTGGCCTCCTCCACTCTCCCTCTTACATGCCAGACCCCTGTCCTTTCAGCGGTCCATGGAGTCAGGCTACCACCAATCCGGCTCCACACCTACGGCCTGCCTGAGAAGGGAAAGGTCTGAGGTGCACTAGGCCGGGCACGCTGGCACCGCCTATGGTCCCAGCTACTCAGGAGGCCGAGACAGGAGGATGGCTTGGGCCCAGGAGCTCGAAGCGAGTGGCCACGCAGCGGCACCGGGAACTTGCAAGGGGCGTCCAGAGGCAGCACTGCAGAACCTCAGGGGCCTGGCCAGCCAGGTCCAGGACAGCTGTGGCGGCCGCCCAGGGTACCTACCTTTCGCCAATCATTAAAGAAGTTCTTCCGGAAAACCTCCTTTGTTGTGTATTCATGATCCAACATCCTCCCATAAAAAGTGGCAACCTCTTCCGCTTTCACGCTCAATCTCATGGGCTTTCCTGCAGGCATCAAAAGACATATCACATGAGAGAGCGGCCACAGGCTTGGCCTCCAGCTGACATGACTTCATTGCTTTAAACTACGCTTTCGTGCGTACTATGCCAAGAGCAAGAAGCTAGGCCTTATTCCGTAAGTTCAGCAGCATGTTCTACATGACAAACGACAATCACCCTGCGTGGAGGTGACGACCACAGTGATCTTGGAGTGGGTGGTGAAAACACTGCAGATTTCGGTGCTTCTGATTTCTTCTCCTTTAGCACTTTACTTTGCTACTACATTTATATTACATGAAAATGGAACATGTACAATTTTAAAACACACCCATCTCTACAAAATTACGGAAGCAAAATAAAAGTTAATGCTTCAAAGCAGACAACTGAATAACTGTAAGTGTAACCCTGTAAAACTCTGCCAGCCTCTGTCCCACCAGTCCCTGCGTTTTCTTCTAAGATCGGTATGGTTTAGAGATGCAGGGGGTGAGCTGGGGCCAGGTGAGCAGAGCGAGAGGCTCCTGGTGGGAACGAGGGTGTTCACCAGGAATTCTTCCAACTGCATGTCTGAAAAGTTTTCAGAAGAAAATTTTAGAGAAATAAAGGCATAATCATTTGGTAACGGAAGAAGGTATTCCTGATAACTAGCCTCTCAGGACAGAGGACGAGAGGCCCAGAGGCCAGCAGCACAGGCCCGAGGGGCTCAGTTCCCGCTGCCCCTCTGTGGAGGCTCGGCCCCACTGGGCCCCACGTGATACCACTGCTCCCCGGACTGCCTGCCATGGCCCTGCACGGGTAGTCCTCGCCCGCCACATCCCTCCTGGCCAGGGAGGTCCTGCAGGGCCACTCTGGGGCGGGCGAGGCGGCCGCTACACTGGGCCAGGGGCACAGCGCGAGACGCTCAGTAAGGCCCCGTGGCCTCCCGTGGGCAGCCCCCACAGACACAGCTAGAACCTCTGTCCCTGTGGAATCTCCAGTCCAGCTTCGGAGAAACAGGCTTTGAACAAAAAATGGCATCAAAGGAGCTCAGCGAACTCAGGTGTGCCTGTGGCCCGGCAGGGGGCCCACGGGAGGGCTGGCGGGAGGGGCACAGCACGGCGTGGGGGCCCGCCCTGGGGGAGAAGAGGTTTGCTTTTCTTAGAAGGATGCCTTCTAGCAGAGATGAAGAAAATGGGCTGAAGCAGCTAAAAGCAGCAGCACAAGAGCCAAGCCGAAGCTCCTCGGCCCTGGGGCAGACAGTAGGGCTCAAGGGCAGGAGGGGTGGGTCCTGCACTGGGCCCTGCTGACCCAGAGCCCCTGGGGTCCTGCCTCTGAGGGTGGCTCAGCGCTCATGTGGATCACGAGCTCCGCTTCTTGCTGAGAATCACAAGCTGGGATCAAGTGACCATTCTGTGATCCACGTGTGTACACGCAGTGTATATACTGTGTATACTCAGAACACACAGGGAACACAGTGGTGCAGGGCAGGGAGGGAGGGTGGGCCTTGCCCAGCGGGTCCTGGACACAACAGGCACAGCCAGTGCAGGCTCAGCAGGAAAGGCAGGGACAGGAGCCCCTGAGCTGCTGCCCTCCGAGCACGGGTCAGTCGGTCAGCAGCCCCCACGCATCACTTGCAAGAAGAGGGCACAGAGCGCTCACAGCCAGAAGCCTGCAGCGGGGCTGAGGGAGCGAGCCAGATGCCCACTGGGAGCCCACGCCCAGGGAGCCAAGCACAGGCCCGGGAGGAGCCGCTCCCTGCGTCCTCACCGTCATAGAAGAAACACACTCCATCAGGAAGGGGCTCGTATGGGGGTGCGAAGTACGGGCCCTTGTGCTCCAGCTGTCTCCACTTCACCCTGTCTTCGCGCTTCTCCTCCTCCCACCTAAAGATGGAGACAGCACGTGTCACTCTCCTGGGCCAGGCCCAGTGTGAGCCTCTTCCCACCTCGCGTGGTGGCTCCTCCCTGTGGCTCCTAGCAGGGGGGCCGTGTGGCCTCCACCTCACGGGGGAGGAAAACAAGGCCTGCAGAGGGAGGCAACCCCCACTGACCTGAGCCCCCTGCCTGTGCACCCGCCCGTGCCCCACCCACAGCGGCCCGTGCGCTGCTGAGTCACGGATCCCACCAAGCCTGGCTAAGCGGGGAAGGGCAAGGCAATGTGCCTCTCCCAGGCTCTAGGGCCTCTCCCCAGATGGGTCCCTTCAGAGCCGCTCTAGAATCCTCTGGAACCTCTCCATGGGACCGTTTCATTAGCTAAATAAAGGACCTGGCTGCTTACGAGACAGCCCTGCCTCCCAGGAGCTGGGTGGAGGGGGCCAGCAGTGCAGCCAGTGGAGAGGCACCACAGCAGGGCGCAGGACCGCCGCCCACAGAGGATCGGGCAGGGTGGAGAAGGCCGGGCAGGGAGGGGAGGCCCTGAAGCCAGAAGCCTCAGGGGTTTTCAGGGAAGGGTTCCTGTTGGGCATGGGGGAGGGCTTGCAACACACTAACACAATGAGGCTCCACAGGGCTCCCTGCCAAGGTCCCCCTCCCCAGGGCATCCCCTCCTGGCAAGCTCAGCTCTGGAGGTTGGGGGCGGAGGACGGGGACACAGCCAGCATGGTGGCTACAGCCCATCCTAACTCTCCAGGCCAGTCATCGTCTATCCATTGAGGCTCCAGCCAAGCCCAAGCCCGCCCTGAGCCAGCCCTGAGCCAGCACTGCCTCGTAGAAAGGGCTCAACTGAACCCAGACACTGAGATGGGCCTGGGAGGAGAGGAGCGAGACGGGGCATGGCTGGCAGGCAGTGGGCAGGCTCAGTCAGCAGGGCTGAGGAAAGAGCGAGCCCAGCATCTAGGATGGCCAGTGCAAAGGCCTCAGTGGGAGAGGCTTTGGTGGGAGGGTGGGAGCGCCATCAGGATGGGGGAGAGTGAGATGGACACACCTTCTGAGCCTCCCCCAGACGCACAAGGACAGAAGGTTCCAGATCACACCCCCACCTGCCAGAGCCAGGAGACCCGCACGTGACCCCAGCCAGGTAGTGCTGTCAGGGGCCTGGTGGGCCTGTTCGGCTGGGATGAGTGTCCTCAGAGCAACAGGAAGTCTCTGAAGGGTCTGAGAGAGGAAAGCATGTGCCACTGACATTTCTGAAAGGGCCTTTCTGGCTGTCTCTGCAGAGGAGGGAATGGGCAGGGTTAGAAGAGCCAGAGGCAGAGGTGATAAAGTAGGGAGAAGGCTCAAGAACCTTCCAGGGTGGAGCCCAGCACGGTAGCTCACGCCTGTAATCCCAGCACTTTGGGAGGCTGAGGCAGGCTCAGGAGCTCAAGGCCAGCCTGGCCAACATGGTGAAAGTACAAAAAGCTAGCTGGCAGATACTGCAGGCAGCTGGAGTCTGGGGGGAAAGTCGGGGGAAGGGGGGTTCTGCTGACTCTGCAGAGCTTTTCCATGTCAAGTGAGACCAGCCTTACCTTTCTTACAGGTTTTAGGAGTTCAAGAGAGCCCAGCAGCCCTAATATAGCATGTCTAGGGTAGGGCTGATAGGAGGCGGCATCGCTAAGTACCCTGAAGAATGAAACCTAGACCTCGCCCTCTTAACCTAGACAACGCCTTCTTAGAGAATCAGGGTGTGAGAAAATGTGAAACCACAGGTATCTCAGAACTGACTGATAGGAGCCGGGCGTGGTGGCTGAAGCCTGTGATCCCAGCACTTTGGGAGGTTGAGGTCGGTGGATCACTTGAGGCTAGGAGTTCGAGATCTGCATAGCTAACATGGCGAAACCCCATCTCTACTAAAAATACAAAAATTAGCTAGATGTGGTGGCTGGCGCCTGTAATCCTAGCTACTCAGGAGGCTGAGGCAGGAGAATCACTTGAACCCAGGAGGTAGAGGTTGCAGTGAGCTGAAATTGCACCACTGCACTCCAGCCTGGGTGACAGGGCAAGTCTCAAGAAATAATAATAATAAAAAAAATAAAGAACTGACTGACAGTAACACAAAGCCTCTAGAGTAATCACACCATCAGTCTAATTTCACAGATGAAGACACTGAGTTGAAACAATTTGCAGGCCAGCAGCCAGGCAGGGCTGCAGTGCTGGGTGTGCTCAAGCCCAACTGAGCGTTGCACGTTTTGCACGTTGTGCACGTTGTAGTGACATTCTTTCACCCCTGCAGAGACCCGCGTACCAAGCACCACCATCAGACACAAGCTGGCTTTCAAAGGGAGACCTTGCTCCAAACCCACCTTTCCACCTGGGTGACTGCAGCCCAGCAGCACTTTTTGGAAAGCACCTACCTGCCTGTGCACCCTCGGAGAGATGCGCCTCAGTGCAGGGCCCACAGCCAGCCCCAGCTCCAGGGCAGGCCAGAACTCCCTCCTCCCAAGACGCCCTCCCCCATCTGGGCTCTCTTGGGTCCCAAGATCCTGGAGGCAGACAGGACATTTCTGCGGCATGGCCTTGGGCAGCTGTGCAGGCCCTCAGCTGTGAACGGATATGGCGATAGCGCACCACCAGGCCACAGAGACACACCACGCTGGAAGCACCAAGTGAACGACGGCAAACCCACTGGCGGAAACTCCTGCAGGATCTCCACGCACCAGTGAGGCTGTCAACTCTCCAGCTCTTCCGAAACCTCCAGCATTTCGTGCGCAGAGACCCAACCCCATGCGGCTACCCCAGGCCCAGTATGCGCCGGCAGGGCTTCTCACATGTCCCCCAGGAAAGCGCCTGGGACCACGAACGGCCACCAGGGCCACTGGATCCATGCGGCGTGTGCCTGGTGATGTAGATACGACAGTGAGTGCCAGGGTCATGCAGAATCGTCCTGGAGACAACCCGGGAACCGACTCCAGGTCTCAGAAGACCAGACACAGCAACACAAGCTTTTTATAAAGTACCTAACCAAACCCTACAGTGTTGAGGCCCAGCCACAGCTACACAAATGATGAAACCGCAAGCCAAAAAAACGGGGGAGATTTCCCCAAACAGGGTTGGTGGGGTGGTGCCTGGGGAAGGAGGGGTGACGTCACGGGGGGCCTGTACACCCCGGGCAGGAGGCGGGCCGCTCACACCGCGGCAGGCATGTTCTCCCGGCCCGACTTTTGGGAAAACCGGAAGCAGGGCAAGGCGGTCCCACGAGGCCTGTCACTCTCCTTTCTGGACCTAACCCAGCCCGGTGCTCAGGGCCCTCGCCGCCTGCTCAATGGGCCGCCTTACCTGGTTCCACTGCCCTTCTGCGTCCTGCGCGAGCCCGGGACGCCCCGGGAGGCCGGGCGGCGGGGGACCTCCCGGAGCAGCGTCAGAGCCGCCCGGAGCCGCAGCAGCCGCACCACGCGCATCTGCCGGCCTCCGGGAAAGGGCGACAAGCTGGGCCCCGCCCCAGCGGCCCCGCCCCGCCCCGCCCCCAGCGGCCAGCCCCGCCCCCGGGCGCAGCCTCCGCCCCCAGCGGCGCTCATTCCGAGGCTGTGCGGTCTAAGCCTGCACCGGGCTGCAGCAGCGGGGCCACCGACTGTCCTGCCGGCCTCCCCCTGGTCTCCCTGCCTTCGTGGTCCAGCGCCCTTTCACGCTGGGGCGGGGCCCTAGATCCAAACCCAGTCCCACTGACCTCTGCAGCACAGGGCTGGCTGTCAGGGTGCCCCACAGGTCACATGACCAGGCCAGTGAGCTCCTGCCCAGGGCTGGCACACAGCTCTCTCCCAGAGCCTCCGAGGGCAGGGGCACCTGGCAGGTCCTTCCTAAGCACATGCTCCGCTGCTGGGGAGAAGGGACCTCACAGGCTCAGATGGCCCCTACCTCATCCCCTACAAACAGCAGCACTTCCAGGCAGAAAGCGGCAGAAGCGCCTGCTATCCAGCCCACAGCAGCCCCTCAGAGGTGGTGCCTCTGGACAAAGGTCACTGCAAGCCCTGCGAAATCATCACTGCCAACCAGCCTCTCACTCCCAAGGAGACCAGAGACCGGGCACAGCTGGAGCCTCCCTCCTGCACTCAGTCCTCAGCATGACCCCTGACCCTGGCCAGGGTTTAACCCCGGTGTCTTCACTGGGGAGCATGGCCAAGGGCAAAACCTCTAGACCAGCACTTGGCAGCGGGCCCTGAGCCACAACAGGCCACACCGCTCACCTCCGGCAGCACTACAGCCTTGTTCTTCCCAGTAAAACCCGGACACCAGGATCATGGGAAGCAGATGAATTCACATGCATCCCGCACTTTCGCTGTGACCGTTAGGAATGCAGTGGACACAGGCAGGAAAGGAGCCCGGGCTGCCACCGCACGCCCCCAGCGACCCTCCCCTGCCACCAGCTGACTCAGTGTCCATGTCATCTAGCTGCTGGAAACCACGGGCAAAGGCCGAGGGCTGCACTCGCTGGCTCTCAGGGCCCAGGCAGACCTGGTAGGTGTCCCATCATTTCAGAATGAGCAGCTCAGCAGCTGAAGGTACACACACACCAGGACACAGCAGCTGACACTCCGGGTGGGCCACCTCCTCCCAAGGGCTGCGGAACAGCGACGCATTATTTTTTCAGACAACCCTTTCTACAAACCAGAACAGGGCCTTAGCCCAGGCCCACCATTCCTTCAACAAAATCCTGAAGTCAGTGTGTTTTCCAATTCAGGTTTCTAAGGGTCTTTGGTTTATTGTTTTTTACTTTTTGTGGAGATGGGTTCTCTCTATGTTGCCCCAGCTGGTCTTGAACTCTTGGGCTTAAGTACCTTGGCCTCCCAAAGCGCTGGGATTTCAGGTGTGAGCCACCATGCCCAGTTGATTCCTCAGGTTTTGTAAGAGGGAGTGTGGCAGGACAAAAACCCTAAGATTTCTCAATAGATGCAGAAAAAGCACCAGACAAATCCAGCATTTCATGATAAACAGAATGGAAAACCCACTCAAGAACAGAACAGAAGGAAACCTAACCTGAAAAGCGGCATCTACAAAACCCCGCAGCTAACCTCATATGCAAGAAGAAAGACTGGACGCTCCCCCTGAAATCAAGAATAAGACGAGGATGGGCCGGGCGCGGTGGCTCAAGCCTGTAATCCCAGCACTTTGGGAGGCCGAGACGGGCGGATCACCAGGTCAGGAGTTTGAGACCAGCCTGGCTAACACGGTGAAACCCCGTCTCTACTAAAAAATACAAAAAACTAGCCGGGCGCGGTGGCGGGCGCCTGTAGTCCCAGCTACTCGGGAGGCTGAGGCAGGAGAATGGTGTGAACCCGGGAGGCGGAGCTTGCAGTGAGCTGAGATCCGGCCACTGCACTCCAGCCTGGGCGACAGAGCGAGACTCCGTCTCAAAAAAAAAAAAAAAAAAAAAAAAACCTGTAATCCCAGCACTTTGGGAGGCCGAGACGGGCGGATCACGAGGTCAGGAGATCCAGACCATCCTGGCGAACACGGTGAAACCCCGTCTCTACTAAAAAATACAAAAAACTAGCCGGGCGAGGCGGCGGGCGCCTGTAGTCCCAGCTACTCGGGAGGCTGAGGCAGGAGAATGGCGTAAACCCGGGAGGCGGAGCTTGCAGTGAGCCGAGATAGCGCCACTGCACTCCAGCCTGGGCGACAGAGCAAGACTCCGTCTCAAAAAAAAAAAAAAAAAAAAAAAAAAGAGGATGTCCACTCTCGCCACTGCCACTCAACACGGTACCAGAGGCTCTCACCGAGCAAACAGGCCAGCAGATGAAATAAGACACCCAGATCAGAAAGAGAGAAGTAAATCATCTCTTTTTGCAGGTGTCATAATCTTGTATATAGAAAATCCCACAGAATCCACAAAAATTGGCTGAGCACCGTAGCTCATGCCTGTAATCCAAGCACTTTGGGAGGTCGAAGCACGTGGATCACTTGAGTCCAGGAGTTCAAGACCAGCCTGGGCAACATAGTGAGACCCTATCTCTATAGAAAATAAAATTTTAAAAAAGAATCCACAAAAACTATTAGAGCTAATAGACGAATTCAGCACAATTGTAGGGTACAAGATCAATATGCAAACATCAGTTGTATTTCTAACCAGGAGCCATGCGCAAACTGAAAATGAAATTAAGAAAATAATTTACAATAGCATCAAAAAATAAAATATTGCACAATAAATTTAACAAAGGAAGTATCAAGCTTATACTCTGAAAACTGTAAAACATTGGCCAAAGAAATTAAAGACAGCCTAAATAAATAAGCAGCCATCCCGTGTTCATGGACCGGATGATTTCATAAGGTTAAGACAGCAATACTCGCCAAACAGATCCAAAAACGCAATACAATCCCCATCAAAATTCCTGAAAACTCAATGTAATCCCCATCAAAATTCCAGCTGGCGTTTTTGCAGAAATGGACAACCTGATCCTAAAATTCACAGGGAAATACAAGGGACCCAAAATAGCCAAAACAATATTTGAAAAAGAATAACAAAGTTGCTGATCTCAAAACTTCAAAACTGGCCTGGGCAACACAGCAAGACCCCATCTGTACTAAAGATTGTTAAATTAGCCGGGCATGATGGTGTGTGCCTGTAGAAAGGGAGGAGACCACCTCTCATATTGTCTTCTGCCTAATTTTTACCTCAAAGAAAAGAAAAAGTAGGAGTTAAAGAAAAGGCAGAAGTGAAACTCAATAGTCAGCCCAGCGCCACACCCCAGGCCTAGTAGTTAAAGATCGACCCCTGACCTAATCACTTAAGTTTTCTATCGATTCCAGACACTGTATGAGGAAGCATTGTGTAACTCCCTGTTTGGTTCTGTTTTGATCACCAGTGCATGCAGCCCCAGTCACACAGCCCCTGCGTGCACAACGTATCACGGCCCTTTCATGTGGACACCTTAGAGTTGTAAGTCCCTAAAAGGCACAGGAATCTTGACTTTGGGGAGCTCGTATCTTGAGACACGATTCTACCGATGTTCCCAGCTGATTAAAGCCTCTTCCTTCCTAAAACTGGTGTCCGAGAGGTTTTGTCTGCAACCTGTCCTGCTATAGTAGTCCCAGCTACTCGGGGGGCTGAGCGAGAGGACTGCTTGAACCCAAGTCACGTTCAAGACTGCCGTGAGCTATGATCAGGCTACTGCACTCCAGCCTGAACAACAGGCTCCATCTCTTAAAGCAAATGTTTTTTGGCCGGGCTTGGTGGCTCATGCCTGTAATCTCAGCACTTTGGGAGGCCAAGGCGGGTGGATCACCTGAGGTCTGGAGTTCAGGACCAGCCTAACCAACATGGAGAAACCCTGTCTCTACTAAAAATTCAAAATTAGCCAGGCGTGGTGGCACATGCCTGTAATCCCAGCTATTTGGGAGGCTGAAGCAGGAGAATCACTTGAACCCAGGAGGCGGAAGTTGTGGTGAGCTGAGATCGCACCATTGCACTCCAGCCTGGGCAACAGAGTGATACTCCGTCTCTCTCTCTCTATATATATATAAAATAATATGTAATATATATATTATTTTTTAAAAGGGGGATAATCTAAATAGACATTTCTCCAAAGATGAAATACAAAAGGCCAACAATCCTGTAAAAAGATGCTCAAAATCATCAGCCACGGGAGAAATGAAAATCCAATCCACAATGAGGTCACCTCACACCCGGGTGGCTGCAGTCAACATGCTGGGGAGGGCGTGGAAAAGTGGCACCCGCTGCCCAAGGCCAGAGACACAGCTGGGGAGTCTAGGCCTGCAGACCAGGAAGGGTTTCTATGAACTGTCTGCCAATATTCCTGGGGTTGGTGGCCCCCTCCCCTTGTGCCCTCTTCCTCCCCAGGCCACTTGGGGGCTGCCCAAGGGAGCGGAGGCGGGGCTTCACCACTCTTCCTCACAGCAAGTAGGAGGACCCCTGTTGTGCATGAGAGAAACTAGGCTTAGAAAATTTAAAGAATTTTCCCAGAATCAAACAGGTGCTAAATGCAGGAGCCGGATACCCACAAAGACCTTTCCCACCTGGAAGCCTGAAGCCGGAGCTCCAAGGCTACGCAGGGACTGCCCAGGTGGGAGGCAGCGCCGCCCAGCAGACACAGCTGCAAGCAGCAGCGGGGTTCACCCCATCCCGAAGCCACACTGCAAAAGAAAGTGACTTTGACCTTAATGATATACTTAATTCCAACTATTTCACCCAAAATACTGTCAACATAATATGCTAATGAGAGAGTACGCATCGCTCTTCTCATAGCAGGTGTGTGTGTCACATCCCCAGCACGTCTCCACTGGGAGAGCTGCCCGGCTCGTGGCTGCGTCCAGGACAGAGCAGGGGTGACGGCTACAACGCAGTGTGGCCCACTTGTGGCTGTGTGACCTTGGGCCGGTTACTTAACCTTTTTTTTTTTTTTTGAATAGCAAATAGTGTATTAGTATATGGTTTCAACGGGAGTAATAAATTCACATATAAAGGAGACAATAATCAAGTCAAAAGAATAAATGCTTACTAATCACCAGAAAATCTGTGGCCATTAGGGCTGGCACGTAAAAATCCAAAATCACTCAGAGGCCAAATCTTCAAGAAGATTCGTCCTCTTATTAGTCCATATGGAATAGGTCCATCGTATCTAGAATCTGTGGAATTCTGTAGATTATCACCTTCTAACCAAACATGACCCATTGGCACCATAGGTCTGTTCTCTAATTCATTCAATTTTTAGGGAAGTCGCAGGGCTTCCAGGAAAAAAAAATTAGAGCATGTCAGAGGAGGAGGGAAGTTCACCTTCCCCACCCAGCAACGACTGCTCTCTATGGGCCTAACAGATGCTTTTAACTGAGCTTTGGGAAACGGCTTCTTGATCGCAGCCTTTGTGGCCTCTGTCAAGAGCAGAAACCAAGGGCAGTGAACAAAGGGGTCAGGGGTGAGCTTGGGGCTGCTCCCAACTCCGGAGCAGGTGCAGGCCACACCAGACCATGCTGCCAGCGTCCACCCTGGCCCAGGCACAAAACACCAGAAAGGGAAGGTCACAGAGCCACTACGGAAGGTCCCGACCCCACTGCCCCATCCACTGCTAACTTCTTCTTCTTTTTCTTTCTTCTTCTTCCTCCTCCTCCTCCTTCTTCTATTACTATTATTATTATTATTATTATTATTATTATTATTAGAGACAGAGTCTCGCTCTGTGACCCAGGCTGGAGTGCAGTGACGTGATCTCGGCTCACCACAACCTCTGCCTCCCAGGTTTAAGCGATTCTCCCGCCTCCGTCTCCCGACCACCACACCCGGCTAATTTTGTATTTTTAGTAGAGACAGGGTTTCACCATTTTGGACAGGCTGGTCTCAAACTCCTAACCTGGTGATCCACCCACCTCCGCCTCCCAAAGTGCTAGGATTACAGGCGTGAGCCACCGTGCCCAGCCTGCTAACTTATTTCACAATAAAATCTTAGAAGAAAATCAGACACTAAGTTCATCCGTTGTTTTCTCGTATCTGCAAGAATCAGCATCGCCAGGCTTGAGTGCCTGTGAAGCTGCTCCTCAGAATCACGTTCATTGTTTATTTACTACTGAAGATACCTACTTGGCCTTTTTTCTTGGGTGGCTTTTCATGGTTATTAGTCTTCACTGGCTTGGTGATCTGTGCAAATCTAGAAAACAAATTTATACATAAATATGCAACTCTGCAGCTCATTCAGGGTTGCCATTTTAACAACAGAGAGTCAAAACAGCCTCATGGAAGCCTCCCATGCTTTTAATGACCCTTTTCTCATTTTTAAAAAGTACACCTGGCAAAGCTGCTGGTAACCTACATGCTGGGGCATCAAGGAGCCTCTGGGCACAGCACCCGCTGGTGGCAGAAGTCCCCACCCCAGGCCAGAAGCTGCGAGCACATCTCAGGCACTTCCCGGCCCCGGGGGAGAGTGGGCGGGCAGTAAAAGGCAGCTCCTGAGTCCCCTCCAGGCCCATCTCTGTCCCCACCAACACCACAGCAGTTCAGAAATCATCAATTTGGAAAAACAGTCCTTCAAAAGGGACTTTTGAAGAAGTGTGAAAAACTATCTTCAGAAACAAAACTCACACCGAACAGAGAGAGGAAAAGACACTTCGCTGAAGTGGGAGTGGCACGGGGCCCACCTCGGGCTGCACGCTGGGTCAGGGGCGCTGTCCCCAGGAATCCCAAGGAGGTTATGGGGGCGCCAGGCACCCCGGTCTGAACCTGCCCACTCATCGGCTGACTGCCCACCTCGCCCGCACCTCACACTACAGCTGCTCTCACTCCAACATCGGACCATCACAACACACACCCACATCACTGCAGACTGGAGACACAGTGAAATGCGCGTCTTGCAAGGAAAAACTTGTGAGATTTCTGAAAATCATGTTAGAGCCCTACTGAGGCAGAGGCCTGGGCCAGTAGAGAAGGGTGAGAGGAGGCCGTCATAAAACAGCTGGAAATCAGGATTAATAGATGGAATCCATGTGGAATCCAGGCCCTCAAGGATGGGGCCCTCAAAGATGACACCAAGGTCTGTGCCTGAGAAGACAGAAGGAGCCACTTCACTGAAACGAGAGGACTAGGGAGGGAAGGGTGGCAGACACCCATGCTCCTCTCGGGATGCTCTGACTGCAGAGGCAGGAGAGGGGAGGGGGAGGGGGAGGGGATGGGGGAGGGGAGGGGAGGGGAGGAGGGGGAGGGGATGGGGGAGGGGAGGAGGGGGAGGGGAGGAGGAGCAGCAACCTCAGCTGAGCAAGGTGAGCAACAGTGAACCAGGCCAAGCAGGAGACAGAATGGATGGGCGCCATGTGAGGAGCATGCCCAGCACCTGGAGAGCTGCTGTGGTCACAGGCATGATTTCATCACAGCCACAGTCATCAGCACAGGCTCCAGTCTGGGGTGGAAAAATTGGAAAGAAGGAAACGTTAAAGCTTTAAGTAATAAGAGACCCAGGGGCCATGTTAAAAGGTAACTCATTCTCTACCTCATCCCAACTCAATAACACAATTCTGGCTCCAACTGGGACAGCACAGGGGCTTCTAAAAAGGGTAACCGTTATGGCCGGGCGCGGTGGCTCACGCCTGTAATCCCAGCACTTTGGGAGGCCGAGGCAGGCGGATCACGAGGTCAGGAGATCGAGACCATCCTGGCTAACACGGTGAAACCCCGTCTTTACTAAAAATACAAAACACTAGCTGGGCGAGGTGGCGGTGCCTGTAGTCCCAGCTACTCGGGAGGCTGAGGCGGGAGAAGGCATAAACCCGGGAGGCGGAGGTTGCAGTGGGCCAAGATTGCACCACTGCACTCCAGCCTGGGCGACAGAGCGAGACTCCGTCTCAAAAAAAAAAAAGAAAGGTACCCACGGGAGACTCCCCATAGACAGGTCCCGATTCCCAAACACAGACACGCACCACACTGCAGGCACCAGCCAGTCCTTCCCAAGGAGCTTACCCTTGCTGGGCAGAGCCACGCACTGAGAGGCAGAGCCCACAAGCCCACTGGCAGCCAAGGTCACCCCCATGCCTGACCTGGCAGAGCCCTGCTGGAGGCAGGTCCACAGGGCATCCCTGAGTGGCTGAAAGGTCTGAACCAGCACTGGGCACAGGAGCCCAGCAATGCCAGCCCGAGGCGTCTGCTGGTCTCTGGAGGACACAGTTGTAAACTCTACACAGACAGAGAAGCAGGCTGGCCCCTCCAGCTCCTGCCGCCACGCGCGGCTGGGAGGTGTCACTCACACCCCACGTGGAACAGAGCCTCTCAGGCTATACTCCCACACCTCTGGCTGGCACTTCAGCAGAGCTTTCCACTGTTTTAAATTAAAATACAGATAAGGCTTGCATTAATTTAGTAGCAAAGTTTAGCACCAACTCAGGGCTTTCATAAAATATGTAAGAATACATTACATAGTACCAGAACACAGAGAAGAGATAAAGTAATTCACACTTAAACTATACCGATAAAGTCAGTCATCAGTAAAATGGCAAAATCCAAATCATCAACACTTTTTCTAAATTGAAGTCCCACAAAGCATTTATTATTGCATCGCTTTTCAAACAAACCGTTATCTAACAACCCATTGGTAATGAGGTAGACTCTGGGGGTTCTGATTCTGCCCAGTCAGCATGTCAGCAGGAAACATCTGCAGAAAGTCATAAGCAGGGAGATGCTGGGGGCAGGGGTGATGGTCAAGTGGGTGTGGACACATCTGTCTTCTGAGGGTGGCAGTGGCTTTGCAGAGGGACAATTCTGCCAAAACTCATCCAATGGTCACTGTCAATGAGTACAATTTATCACGTGGAGATAGCGTGTCTGTAAAGTTCACTTCTCACAAAGTGCTCCTGCATTATTACTCTAGAGCCCAGGAGAATGGGCAGCTCTTCTGGCTCTCAGCCAAGGCTTTGTTTCACCTCTGGAACAGCTCCGAAGGCAATGCCAGGCCTCCTGAAGCTCAGGAGTGAGGAGGAAATGCCAGGTTCCTAAGTACGAGGCTGCTCCAAATTCCTCACAGGCAATGCAGGAACAGAAAACCCAGAGGCATTATCTTCATGGAGCACCTTTACCACCCAGCTAATGGGATACTGAGACACCCAGAAACTTGGTTCTTGGACCAGCTATTGCCCCTCGAATTTGCTTTCCCTTGCCAAGATCCCACAAAATGATTTTTTTTTTTTTTTTTTTTTTTTTTTTTTTTTTTTTGAGACGGAGTCTCATTCTGTCGCCCAGGCTGGAGTGCAGTGGCCAGATCTCAGCTCACTGCAAGCTCCGCCTCCCGGGTTCACGCCATTCTCCTGCCTCAGCCTCCCGAGTAGCTGGGACTACAGGCGCCCGCCACCTCGCCCGGCTAGTTTTTTGTATTTTTTAGTAGAGACGGGGTTTCACCATGTTAGCCAGGATGGTCTCGATCTCCTGACCTCGTGATCCGCCCGTCTCGGCCTCCCAAAGTGCTGGGATTACAGGCTTGAGCCACCGCGCCCGGCCTCACAAAATGATTTTTTTTTTTTTTTTTTTTTTTTGAGACGGAGTCTCGCTCTGTCGCCCAGGCTGGAGTGCAGTGGCACAATCTCGGCTCACTGCAAGCTCCGCCTCCCGGGTTCACGCCATTCTCCGGCCTCAGCCTCCCGAGTAGCTGGGACTACAGGCGCCCGCCACTGCGCCCGGCTAATTTTTTTCTATTTTTAGTAGAGACGGGGTTTCACCATGGTCTCGATCTCCTGACCTTGTGATCCGCCCGCCTCGGCCTTCCAAAGTGCTGGGATTACAGGCGTGAGCCACCGCGCCCGGCCTCACAAAATGATTTTTTTAAAAAGATTTATTTTAAACAAACAAAGCAGCACCAGAGAAAAAGAAAGGGGGCTGTGCTGGGTGTGGCAGCATGCTTGTAGTCCCAGCTACTCGGGAGGCTGAAGTGGGAGGATCACTAGAGCCCAGGAACTGGAAGCCAGCCCAGGCAACACGGCAAGACATCTCTAAAAAAGAGAAAAAGAGAAGGAAGGGGTACGTATTTTAGCCCATTTCCTGCTGCTGTAACAAATAGCACAGACTGGGAAATTTATAAAGAACACAGATTTATCTGGTTCACCAGAGGCTGGGAAGGCCAAGATCAAGAAGCTGCATCTGGCAAGGACCTTCTTGTTGCATTACCCCAGCGGCAGAAGATAAACTAGCACACACGGCAGAGGGAGGACACTGAGCAAACTCACCATTTTGATCAGGAACCAACTCCCATGGCAAGAAATCTACTCTCAAGATGACAACATTGTCCATTCATGAGGGTAGAGCCAAATCACCTTTCAAAAGCCTCGCTTCCTTTTTTTTTTTTTTTTTAGAGATGGAGTCTTGCTCTGTTGCCCAGGCTGGAGTGCAGTGGTGCAATCTCGGCTCACTGCAACCTCCGCCTCCCAGGTTCAAGCGATTCTCCTGCCTCAGCCTCCCAAGCAGCTGGGATTACAGGCATGCTCCACCACATCCGCTAATTTTTGTTTTGTTTTGTTTTGTTTTTGAGACGGAGTCTCGCCCCGTCGCCCATGCTGGAGTGCAGTGATGCGATCTCAGTTCACTGCAAGCTCCCCCTCCCGGGTTCACCCCATTCTCCTGCCTCAGCCTCCCAAATAGCTGGGACTACAGGCGCCGCCACCATGCCCAACTGATTTTTTTGTATTTTTAGTAGAGACGGGGTTTCACCATGTTAGCCAGGATGGTCTCGATCTCCTGACCTCATGATCTGCCCGCCTTGGCCTCCCAAAGTGCTGGAATTACAGGCGTGAGCCACTGTACAGGGCTAATTTTTGTACTTTTTAGTAGAGACGCGGTTTCACTATATGTTGGCCAGGCTGGTCTCAAACTCCTGACCTCAAGTGATCCACCCGCCTTGGCCTCCCAAAGTGCTAGAATTACAGGCCTGCCTGGCCAGGCCTCAACTCTTAAAAGTAGTTACTATTTAATATTAAGTACTACAAATGGCAACTAAATTGCAACATGAGTTTTAGGAGGAACATTGAAACCACTGCAGGCAGCCAGACAGCCAGCCAGCAGGGACGAATTGAAACAATCCAGGAAGTTTATAAAGCACAATGGGAGAGAGGGCAGAGGCACCCTCAGTCCAAGGTGGGCTGTGCAGGACCACCGCTCCGAGCCCCGCAGCAGGCCAGGCCTCCAAGCTCAGGCACCGAGGTGAGGACGGGTGCCTGGAGCTCAGCAGGCTCCTCCGTGATGCAGCTACAGCAGCCAGGGGTCCCCCCACGCTGAGGAGGGTGAGGAGGGATGGCTGCTATGGAAGGTGCCCAGGAGACGTGCAGCCTGGCCAGGGCCTCTGCATCCCACAGCAGCCTTGCAAGCCAGAGGGGACCTCCACCCAGGGCCTCCATCTGTGCTAAGAGTGGAGTTCCTAGAGTTGGAAAGTCCTGCCCCCTAAGCCCTACCACCCTGGAGAGGCCCCAGTCATGACAAAGCCCACTGGTAAACCCAGGCCCACCCCATCCAGAGACACTCCCACCAGCTCCCTGCTCCAAAGTCCCTCAGTCTTTGTCACAAATAGTGAGCAGCAGACGTGAGAAAATCACAAGAAAATGTCCACACAGAGGATAGCATGAGGGGTGGTAAGGCCATGAGACCACTCGGGGCAACAAGAGAATTGACAGAAAACCCAGTCATGGCTTTGAGAGGGCCCAGGACCTCATGCCCTGAGCCGCAGCTTCGGCTCAGGACTCCACGTCACCCTGTGGCCCTTCTGTCCCACACTCACCTGACAGACACCCCCCGCCGACCTCCCCAACTATGCAGCCTGTGAATCCTGCCATGTAAGGGGTGCCCTGCAGGGGTGTGGCAGGAGGGTCCCAAGAAGACCAGCACATTTCAGCCTGTGTCACTCCTGTACTCACTGACAGCTGGGGGGTGCGGTTGGGGGCCCTCCAGGGGGGCCTGATCTAACCCCATGCGCCGCTGAAAAGCAGTTTCCCCCAGGTGGGGACAGAGGGAGAGTCAGAGACGGGATTTGGGTGCCGCTGCTGGCCGTGAGGATGAAGGGCCAAATGGAGAGCGTGGAGAAGGGACGCTAGCTGACAGCCAGCAAGACAATGGCCCTCAGTCCCACCGCTGCAGGGACTGACCCAACCCCCAGGAGCCTGGTGCCTCGAGGCGGGAGCCCAGCCCGGCCAGCGCACCCAACTCACCCTAAGCTGAGAATCCTGCCAAACCCACAAGAGCATCCGGCCTACGGAACTGTGGGCTATGACCAGGCGTTGCTTAACGCCTGCGCAGAACGCCTGTGGCTGGCTTAGAGGGCAGAACCGCGGTCTCCGGGGCAGCAGCCAAATCGCCTGAGGAGCCTTTCCTCAGGAGGCAGGTTCTCAGCTCCTCACCACAAAACTACCCACCAGAGGCCAACAGGTGAGCCAGGAGCCTCTTCTGTTTAGTTTCATTAGGGAAAATCTCAAGCACACACAAACAAACGGCCTATGAAAACCCATTATACGAACTGAACTTTTCCTACCACACCCAACCAAATCAGACTCGAGGGACCCAGGAAAAGCTCTCAGGCACACAGCACCTGCTCCCAGAGCCCCCCCACCGCTCCCCCGCCCCCCCCCCCACCGCAAGTCTAGCTGCTGAAATGACCTGCTGCAACCTTACAACCAGGTGTGCCTAATGGCTGCTGGAACAACCTACCTGACCCAAAGACTAGGTTTACCTACTGTGTCTTTCACCAATCTGAGCTTGCCAGCTCCCCAAAACTTCACCAGTGCCAATGTGTTTTCTTTCAAAACAACAGGTAACATTTCTCTTTCCAATAAACCCCCAGCATGCTCTGTGTTCTTGACCAAAGACCACTCTGTACACCTTTTTTTTTTTTTTTTGAGATGGAGTCTTGCTCTGTCACCCAGGTTGGAGTGCAGTGGCACGATCTCAGCTCACTGCAACCTCTGTCTCATGGGTTCAAGTAATTCTCCTGCCTCAGCCTCCCGAGTAGCTGGGATTACAGGTGCCCACCATCACACCCAGCTAATTTTTGTATTTTTAGTAGAGACAGGGTTTCGCCATGTTGGCCAGGCTGGTCTCAAACTCCTGACCTCAAGTGATCTGCCCACCTTGGCCTCCCAAAGTGCTGGGATTACAGGCATGACCCACTGCGCTGGGCCTCATCTGTGTATTTTCGTTTGAGTTTGACAAGTATTAATAAACTCCCACAACCCCATTACACCAACTCAAAACTTACCAGCTCACATCCCATCTCTTTCCATTGAGTGCCCACCCTCTTCTCTCCCCAGTGGGTTATTCTGAAGCAACTCCAAGACAGCACATCGCTTCACCCACAAACATTTCCAGTTATGTCCAAAGATGCAAACTCTTCTTTTAAAGACCACAACCACGTGCCCGCCTCGGCAGCACATACGCTAAAAGTGGAACAATACAGAGAAGTTTCGCATGGCCCCTGTGCGAGGATGACAGGCAAATTCATTATGCTCTCCACAAAAACAATTAAAAAGAACACAACCACTATACACCATCACTCTTTCTTTCTTTTCTTTTGTTATTTTAAGACGGAGTCTCGTTCTGTCACACAGTTTGGAGTTTAGTGGCACAATCTCAGCTCACTGCAACCTCCGTCTCCCGGGTTCAAGCGATTCTCCTGCCTCAGAATCCTGAGTAGCCGGGATTATAGGCACCCACCACTGTGCCCGGCTAATTTTTGTATTCTTAGCAGAGATGGGTTTTCGCCATGCTGGCCACGCTGGTCTCGAACTCCTGACCTCAAGTGATCCACCCGCCTAGGCCTCCCAAACTGCTGGAATTACAGGTGTGAGCCACTGCACCCGGTCCACTATTACACTTCAAAAAACAAATTCCTTATTATCAGATATCCACAGAGTGCTCAAATTCCCTAACTGTCTCATCAGTTAAAAAATCTTTCTGTAAATCAGAATTGAAACAAAGTCCAATGCATTTGAATAGACTTTTTGGTTCTCTTTTTATTTTTAATGTATTCTACTTCAATTTAAATTTTTAGAAAACTTACTATTTTGGAAAATTTCAAGTATATGCAGTAGAATTATAAGCACTCCTCACTGACAGAGACTGTCCTCGACCACACTTGAGTCTGGCTCCTGGGTTCTCCTCTTTGACCAGGCCCTGACCTTGGCTTAGTCCTTGACCTACTTAGTCCAGTTTCAGCAAGACTCCTGCTGGTTGCGTCAGTGAAAACCCCACCCTTGGTATCTGATCCTCAACATCGGGTCAAATTCCTCCTCCCTCAGCCTCTACAGCTCATCACCCTGGCCTGCCAAAGAACCCCTACCCCTGATGTCTCCTGATGGTAACTTTCCAACTCTGCTTCTTGGCTAAACATCCTCACACGTCTTTGTTGTATTTGGAGTTGAGCTCAATCTCTCTCCCCTACTGCAAAACCCCATGACAGCGGCCTCTCCTGGAAGTCTGCCTTACCATCTCTAACAAGCATCATAAAAACTTTTTCTCGGCCGAGCACGGTGGCTCAGGCCTGTAATCCCAGCACTTTGGGAGGCCAAGGTGGGTGGATCACCTGAGGTCAGGGGTTCAAGACCAGCCTGGCCAACATGGCAAAACCCCGTCTCTACTAAAAATACAAAGATTAGCCAGACAGTGGTGGCGCATGCCTGTAATCCCAGCTACTCGGGAGGATGAGACAAAGGCGGGAGAATCACTTGAGCCTGGAAAGCAGAGCTTGTGGTGAGCCGAGATCATGCCACTGCACTCCAATCTGCGGGACAGAGTGAGAGTAAGACCCTGTCTAAAAAAAAAAAGAAAGAAAAGAAAAGAAAAGAAATGGAAAATAATTCCATTTACAATAGCATCAAAAAAAAATACTGAGCAATAAATTTAACAAAAGAGATATAAAGCTTATACTCTGAAAACTGTAACACATTGCCAGAAGAAATTAAAGACACTCTAAATAAGTGAACAGCTATCCTGTATTCATGGACTGGATGACTTCATATGGTTAAGACAGCAATACTCGGCCAGGTGTAGTGGCTCATGCCTGTAATCCCAGCACTTTGGGAGGCCAAGGCAGGTGGATCACCTGAGGTTGGGAGTTCAAGACCAGCCTGACCAACATGGAGAAACACCCTCTCTACTAAAAATACAAAATCAGCTGAGTATGGGGGCACATGCTGTAATCCCAGCTACTTGGGAGGCTGAGGCAAGAGAATTGCTTGAACCCAGGAGGTGGAGGTTGTGAGCCGAGATTGTGCCATTGCGCTCCAGCCTGGGCAACAAGAGTGAAACTCCGTCTCTAAATAAATAAATAAAAAAATAAAGACAGCAACACTCTCCGAACAGATAGAAAAACTCAATGCAATCCCCATCAAAATTCCAGCTGGTGCTTTTGCAGAAATTGACAGCCTGATCCTAAAATTCACAGGGAAATACAAAGAACAAAGTTAGAGGAATCATACTTCCTGATTTCGAAACTTCAGGGCTACAGAGATGAAGACAGAGGGGCACTGTCAGAAGGACGTGCACAGAGACGGGTGGGTCCACTCAGAGTCTGGAAATAAACCCACACACCTGTGGGCAACTGATTTCAACAAGGATGTCAGACCACTCCACGGGGAAAGAACAGTCTTTTCAATAAGGGGTGCTGACTATCCACATGCACAGAATGAAGTTAGACTTCTTCCTCACATCAAATGCAAACGTTAACTCAAAGTGGATCAAAAACCTAAATGTAAGAGCCAAAGCTATAAAACTCTTAGAAAAAAACATAGGTACAAATCTTTATGACCCTGAATTAGATCACGGTTTTTGGGTTGGTTGGTTGGTTTAGGCTGGGTCTCACTCTGTCACACAGGCTGCAGTAAAGTGGCACAATCACAGTTCACTGCAGCCTCGAACTCCTGGGCTCCAGCAGTCCCTCCACCTCAGCTCACCACAGCTGGGACTACATGTGTTCACCACAGCGCCCAGCTGATTTTTAAATCTTTCGTCGAGTCGCAGTTTCACATCAATGCCCAGCCTGCTCTCAATCTCTCGGCCTCAAGTGATCCTCCTGCCTCAGCCTCCCAAAGTGCTGGGATCATAGGCAGATAATGGTTTTTAAAAACACCCACACGCAAAGCACAAACAACCCAAGATAAAACACACACATTGAACTCAGGTAAAAGAGATCAACCGAAAACTTTTGTGCTTCAAAAGACACCATCAAGAAAGCAAAAGACAATCCTCAGATAAGGGTCTGGTGTCTGGAATATGCAAAAAATCTTCTACAACTCAACAATAAAAAATAAATAATCCAACCAAAACCAGGTAAAGGGCCAGGTGGGGTGGCTTGCACATGTAATCTCAGCACTTCGAGAAACCAAAGTGGGCGGATCACTTGAACCCACAAGTTTGAGATGAGCCTGGGCAAGATGGGGAGACCCCATCTCTCCAAAAAATTTAAAAATTAGCTAGGCGTGGTGACACACACCTGTATTCCCAGCTACTCAGGAGGCTGAAGTGGGAGGGCGGCTTGAGCCCAGGAGTTCGAGGCTGCAGCAAGCTATGATGGTGTCACTGCACTCCAGCCTGGGCAACAAAGCGAGACCCTTTTTTTTCTTTTTTTTTTTTTGAGACGGAGTCTAGCTCTGTCACCCAGGCTGGGGTGCAGTGGCCGGATCTCAGCTCACTGCAAGCTCCGCCTCCCGGTTCACGCCATCTCCTCCTCAGCCTCCCGAGTAGCTGGGACTACAGGCCCGCCACCTCGCCCGGCTAAGTTTTTTTTTTAGTAGAGACGGGGTTCACTGGTTAGCCAGGATGGTCCGATCTCCTGACCTCGTGATCCGCCCGTCTCGGCCTCCCAAAGTGCTGGATACAGCTTGAGCCACCCGCCCGGCTGAGACCCTGTCTTTAAAAAAAAAAAAAAAAAAGGCAAAGAGTGTAAACAAACATTTCTCCAAAGATGAGATACAAATGGCCAATAAACACATGAAAAGATGCTTAGTATCACTAATCACTAGGGAAATGCAAATCAAATCCACAGGGAGTTACAGTGAGTTACCACTTTGCATCCACCAGAATGGCCATAATGAAAAAGACAGAAAATAAGTGTTGGCAAGAATGTGTAGAAACTGGACTCCTTGTACAATGCTGCTGGGAATGTAAAATGGTAATGCTGCTTTAAGAAAGGTTGTTGGGGCCGGGCACGGTGGCTCATGCCTGTCCCAACACTTTGGGATCACTTGAGGTCAGGAGTTCGAGACGAGCCTGGCCAACATGGTGAAACCCTGTCTCTACTAAAAATACAAAAATTAGCCAGGCGTGGTGGTGGGCGCCTGTAATCCCAGTTACTTGGGAGGCTGAGGCAGGAGGATCGCTTGAATCCAGGAGGCAGAGGTTGCAGTGAGCCGAGATCGCGCCACTGCACTCCAGCCTGGGCGACAGAGAGAGATTCCATCTCAAAAAAAAAGTCTGTTGGTTCTTCAATAAATTCAACATGAAATGACCACAGGAGCCAGAAATTCCACTTCTAGTTATGTACCCGAAAGCACTGCAAAGAGGTATTCAGACAAATACTTATAAAGAAATACTTGTAGCAGCATCATTCACAATAGCCCAACGGTAGGAACAACCCAAATGTACATCAACAGACAAAGGGATCAACGAAGCCCAGATACACACGCAGCACGGTGTTTCCAGCTGTGCAGGGGAATGAAGTGTTAACACAGTACAGTGTGGATGGATCTTGGAAACACTTGACATAAAAGAAGCCAGGCACAAAAGGAAAAATACTGTAGGATTCTGTTTACAGGAAACAGCCAGAATAAGCAAATCCATGGATAGAAAGTAGATTAGTGGTTGCCAGGGGCTGGGGGAACAGAGAATGGGAACATTAAAATAAAAACTTTAGACAAATTAAATTTAACAAAGTTTATCTGAGCAACGAATCATCTGAGAATTGGGCAAAGTTCCCAGAACGAGAACGGGTCCAGAGCGAGTCCAGAGCTGCTGTGTGGTCAGACCACACTTATGGACAGAGAAAAAAAAAAGTGACAAAAAATGAAAAAGACAAAAAAAAAAAAAAAGAAAAGAAAAAAAGGAAAGTGATGCACAGGAAACAGCCACGCAATTTTGTGAAGTTGCAGCAACACTGAACACTTGGCATATTTCACCATGAAAGTCTCCATTTCTGCCTTTTTTTTTTTTTTTTGGCATCTCGCTCTGTCCACCATGCAGTGGCAATCTCGCCACCAACTCCGCTCCCTTCCCATTCTCCTGCCTCACCTCCGAGTAGCGGATTACAGGCCACAACCACGGGCTAATTTTTTTATTTTTAGTAGAGACGGGTTCACGTGGTCTCGATCTCCTTTGATCCGCCCGCCTCGGCCTCCCAAAGTGCTGGGATTACAGGCGTGAGCCACCGCGCCTGGCCTTCTGCCTTCATTTGAACAGATTCAGCAACCTGGAAGACATGGCCTGTGCACCGCCTGCCTAATCATGATTACATTCCCAGCTCACGGCCGGGATGGCAGGACAGCGCCGAAGCGGCACGTGGCAGACACAACCGGGGACAGCCCAGCTCCTCAGCAGACGGCAGGCACCGGAAATCAGCAAACACAATCTGACACAACGCAGAGCAAACACCACATTAAATGGCTTCCGCGTTCCAAGGCCGGGTGCTTAGTTCATCTATGGAAACCTTATTTAAAACGACACAATTAGCTCAAACTGACTCATCCTACCTTAGATTCTACTCGCTGTGAATGGATGCATACAGCCTGCCATCAAGCCATGGATGTACCACATTTCTCAAAAGCAAAACCTAACCATTTTTCCATCAGGCTTTTTTCTTTGTTCTGCTGGACACAGAAAGCTATTTACACGATTATCGGACACAAGAAAGCAGCAAAGAGAGCAGAGGGAGAGAAAGGTGAGTGAGGACTGCAGGCCTAATGCTTTTCAACCTTTTTTTGGTTCTAATCTTTGAAAAAGATGTGGTCACACTGATTGTTACCACAGTAACAATCTGACAAGATCATTTATCTAAAACAAAAACAAACAAAGAGGAAGGGCCCCTGGCACATGAGGGAGATGCCAGACCCCCTTGTTACACCTGGGCCCCGACACGAATGTGCAAGAGCCAGATTACTGCACCTGTCAGAGGCGGCTCGCGTTACCAACCAGCTCCGCAGTCCTGTGGATTCCTAACTCTGCTCAAGCGGAAACAAAGACTGGAAAAAGAACAGGAAGCAGGTCCCAATTCCACTGCAAAGGCCAGGCTCCCAGGACGAAAGCTGATCTCACCCCGTGCCCTCGCTCCCCCCATCCCCTCGCTCCCCCATTTCACCTCACTCTACAAAAAAAAGGGGTAAAGAGAACAAATCTCACCTGACAATAGGATCGTCCCGCCCTGGATTTTCTTTTGAAACGGAGAATTTATTTTCTTCTCTCAAGCACTGCTATAAGTCACAAGAGAACAGGGTTACACTGAGGAAATTTCCATGTCATAATAAACAGAACTTCTGTGAAAACACTAGGATGTACCCCACCACAGCATCCTGCACTATGGGAGGCCGAGGCAGGTGGATCACAAGGTCAGGAGTTCGAGACCAGCCTGGCCAACATAGTGAAACCCCATCTCTACTAAAAATACTAAAACTAGCCGGTCATGGTGGCATGCACCTGTAGTCCCAGATACTCGGGAGGCTGAGGCAGGAGAATAGATTGAACCCAGGAAGCAGAAGTTGTGGTGAGCTGAGATTGTGCCACTGAACTCCAGCCTGGGCAACAGAGTGAGACTCCATCTCAAAAAAAAAAAAAGGTCGGGCATGGTGGCTCATGCCTGCAATACCAGCACTTTGGGAGGCCAAGGAGGGTGGATCACGAGGTCAGGAGATCGAGACCATCCTGGCTAACATGGTGAAACCCCGTCTCTACTACAAAAATAGAAAAAATTAGCCGGGCGTGGTGGCGGGCGCCTATAGTCCCAGCTACTCGGGAGACTGAGGCAGGAGAATGGTGTGAACCGGGGAGGCAGAGCTTGCAGTGAGCTAAGATCATGCCACTGCACTCCAGCCTGGGCAACAGAGCAAGACTCCGTCTCAAAAAACAAAACTTCATGAGGCTGAGTATGGTGGCTTACACTTGTAATCCCAGCACTTTAGGAGGATAAGGCAGGAGGATCTCTTTTTTTTTTTTTTTTTGAGAGGAGTCTCGCTTGTCGCCCGGCTGGAGTGCAGTGGCCGGATCTCAGCTCACTGCAAGCTCCGCCTCCCGGGTTACGCCATTCTCCTGCCTCACCTCCGGTAGCTGGGTAAGGCGGCATGCGGTAGTTTTTTTTTTTTTTTTTTTTTTTTTTTTAGAATTTCCGTTTCATGTCTGATCTCCGCCTCTTGTCTGGTTCTTTCTTTTTTTTTTTTTTTTTTTGAGACGGAGTCTCGCTGTGTCGCCCGGGCTGGAGTGCAGTGGCCGGATCTCAGCTCACTGCAAGCTCCGCCTCCGGGGTTTACGCCATTCTCCTGCCTCATCCTCCGGAGTAGCTGGGACTACAGGCGCCCGCCATCTCGCCCGGCTAGTTTTTTTTTGTATTTTTTAGTAGAGACGGGGTTTCACCGTGTTAGCCAGGATGGTCTCGATCTCCTGACCTCGTGATCCACCCGTCTCGGCCTCCCAAAGTGCTGGGATTACAGGCTTGAGCCACCGCGCCCGGCCGGCAGGAGGATCTCTTGAGCCTAGGAGTTCTAGACTAGCGTGGGCAATATAGGGAGATAGGGAGATCCCATCCTACAAAAATTAAAAAAGAGAATTAGCCAGCGTGATGGTGCACACCAGTAGTCCAACTACTCAGGACGCTGAGGTGGGAGGATCACTTGGGCCCAAGAGGTTGAGGCTGCAGTGAGCTATGATCACCACTGCACTCCAGCCTGGGCAATAAAGTGAAACCTTGTCTCAAAAAAAAAAAAAAAAGTTCATGAGTAAAAGCAAAAATTAAGAATACAACATTTGAACATATTGAAGATTGTGAGTTTAAAAAATGAAACAGTAAGGCCAGGTGTGGTGATTCATGCCTGTAATCCCAGCACTTTGGGAGGCTGAGGCAGGGACTGCTTGGGGCAAGGAGTTCAAGATCAGCCAGAGCAACATAGTGAGGCCTTGTTTCTTCAAAAATAAAAATAAAAACATAAGGCCAAGCGCAGTGGTTCACGCCTGTAATCCTAGCACTTTAGCAGGCTGAGGCGGGCAGATCACCTGAGGTCAGGAGTTCTAGACCAGCCTGGCCAACGTGGTGAAATCCCATATCTACTAAAAATACAAAATTAGCCAGGTGTGGTGGCGCACGACTGTAGTCTTGGCTACTCAGGAGGCTGAGGCAGGAGAATCGCTAGAAACCGGGAGGCAGAGGATGCAGTTAGCCAAGATTGCACCATTGCACTCCAGCCTGGGTGACAAGAGCAAAACTCCATCTCAAAAAAAAAAAAAAAAATTAGCTGGGCATGGTAGCACCCGCCTGTGGTCTCAGCTACTGGACAGGCTAAGGCGGAGGATCACTTGAGCCCAAGAGTTTGAGGTTATAGTAAACTATGATCACCACTGCACTCCCACCTGGGAGACACAGCAAGACTCTATCTCTAAAAAAATTAATAATATAAATAAAAAAAAATGAAACATTAGCAGTAAATAAAAGGTTTGAACCTGGTCTTCACCCCATCTTCCCTGATTTTTCTGCTTTGGCTTCTTCACTTTGAGCTTCTTCGCATTTTCCAGCTTTATCTGCCCAGTACTCTCTCTCTTCCTTTAATCAAAGAAGTATGCTCCTGTAACTCCAAAGAAGAAACGGCAACACCAATGCCAAAATGATGTTTTTGACAGGAAGAAACATAAACTTCACAGAAAAACAGTGACATCACGCCCCTCCCATTCCTCCCCCGTTCGGTCCTGGGCTGTGGTTCAGACACCACCTACAGCCAAGAGCTCCTCCCACCCCATTTGTTACAAAAGCCGGGCAAGCAGGTGAAGCACCCCCAGCAACAAAATCCAATGTCACAAACATGCAAAGGCCACTGCTTTCCAAAAGTATTGCTACTTCCTGAGAACAACTTTATTGGCAACTGCTTCAAATTGGGCCCGTGACCGTTTCCCATCGCCTCTCTAACTGCACCTGAGTGTCCTCACCTGCGAGAAAGCACACATGTCCCCGGGGCCCTGGGATGAGCAGCAGGATGGTTCCACAGAGGTGAGCCTGGACCCAGGACACTGCTGCACCTGTGGCTGGAGTGACACCGAAAACACAGCAGCAGCTGAGAGGGCAGGAGAGGTGACCGGCCACGAGCCTCTGTCGGCTCCAACCACCAAGGGATGGTGCTTATTCCTGATCCCATTACTATGCAACCAGGCTCTCTAGAAAGTTAACATTAGCTGGTCCCGAGCATCTTCCTGGGTGTAATATACCATCCTGTTCACGTTTTTTAAATCACTATTAAGTTTTTGTTTTTGTTTTTAGAGACAGGGTCTCACTATGTTGCCCAGGCTGGTCTCAAACTCTGAGCTCAAATGATCCTCCTGCCTCAGCCTCCCCAAGTGCTGGGATTACAGGTGTGAGCCACCGCACTGGCCCTTAAGTAGACTATTTTGAATGCTGCATAGACTTTCCCCTGAAAATAGCCAGTTCGTGGGTTTTAGTTGGGAACCTATGGCTTTAAATGCGTCAGACCAAAAGAAAAAGAAAAACAGCTGCAAACCTGAGGTGTTACAAGGCGGCCGCCAGCAAAGTGATCCAGGAGAAGGGAGGCAGTTCACCGCGCCAGAAGAGAAGGGCAGGGAAAAGGCCAGCTCCATGAGGAAAGGCCCTGGGGCAAAGCGCATCCAAAGTCGTCACTCTGGGGCAGAAGACAGAGCGGGATCCCATCAGCGACGGCTGTTTCCAGACCCTCTTCCTAGGCAGCCAGAGCAGCACCTCTGGTCAGGTGCAGGGCCCAGGCGGAAAGTCAGGAGCCAAGGGAGCGATGGGGGCGGGTGGGGCAGCGAGGGAAGAGGACACCGAGGGGGAGGGGCGGTGGGGGGAGGGGTAACGAAGGGGGAAGAGGACAAGGGGGCCTGGAGGGGGACACCAAAGGAGGGCCCACGGAGGTGGAGGAAACACTGAGGGGTGAAGCACACGGAGGGGGGACACGGAGGAGGGGTGCCTGGAGGAGAAGGAGGAGGGGACACGCTGGTGGCGTAGTGCGCGGAGGGGGAGGTACACGGAGGAGTCGCGGAGCGGAAGGGATGTGGGGGGTCGTCACCAAGAGCGCGACCTGGGTCACCCACAGGAAGAGAGCCACTGAGGGCACCTCCGGACCCCTCCCTCCCGGCGGCGCGCCCTCAGGCCGAGTCCCACCTCCCCGCAGCGCTTCCGGGACCCATGCGGAGCCACTCCGCCACCGCCCCCCCGGACCCTGCTTCCCCGGGTCTCCCACCTCCCACCTCCCCGCTGCGCTTCCGGGAGCCATGCGAGCCACTCCGCCACCGCCCCACCGGACCCTGCTTCCCCGGGTCTCCCACCTCCCCGCTGCGCTTCCGGGAGCCATGCGAGCCACTCCGCCACCGCCCCACCGGACCCTGCTTCCCTGGTCTGCGCGGAGACGCCGGCAAGGCCCCGAGCACGCGCATGCGCAGCCGACGCCACGTGCCGGGCCTTGACGCCGCGGCCGCCGCCGGGAAGGGGGCGGGCTGCGCGGGCGCTGGAGAGGCCCACGCGGTGGCCACGCGAGGCAGAGCGGGGTCCCATCTGGTGGCGGGGCTCAGTTGGGCCCCTGGGCTCGCGCGCTCCGCGGGCCGCGGTGCTGACGGTCACCCAGGAGGTGGGTGGGAGGGCGTTCCTGGGCCGCCCGTGCTGTTGGCTTCCGCGAGGTGGTGGAACCTCGCCAGTCCCTGCAGCGCTTTTGCGATTCTGAAGATAAAGAGGATCGTATTTTGAGAAAAGCCCACGGAGCAAGGAGCTCAAGGAGCAAGGCCTGAGGTGCAAGCTGTCACTGGGTCGCATCTGCTTAGCAGCCTGCACATTGCTAGCGAGAGTCTCCACTCAGCCTGAACATAGTGCTTGGGAGGAGGAGGGCCGCCAGGCCACACCCGTGGGGTGCAGGACGCGCCACGTCAGGGGGTGTGGGCGTGACGTGAGATCCCAGAGGCTGAGTCTGGAAAACTGAGCGTATGTGGCCACAGTAGCGGAATGGACAAAGACCACTAGGCCGAGAAGGAGCTGTGTGGACAAGGGCACGGCGAGTGGCCACGGGTGGCCAGCGTGGAGTACGGCTCCCTCCAAAGCAGGCGCTTCCTGCAGGTATTTTATCTGGGAAGTGGACTCAGGAAGCACGGGTAAGGGAGTAGGGAAGTACACATGTTGGGGAGCAGGTGAGAGCCGGGGCCCCTGGACTAGTCCTCCTGGAGGCCTCTGGGAGAGCACAGGACACAGTTCCGAGTGGGTTTGCTCTGGTTTCCAGGGGCCATCCTCGCCGCCCCCACCTCTGCCAATTGCACTTCCAGCAGACCCCGGGCACAGGCCAGCAATCCTAGGCACTGAGAAAAGCCCTCAGGCAGGAAGTTGCAGGTGCGGGCATGATCCCCTGTACATTGCAGAGAGATGATGGCACCAGTGGGCACACTGCTCGCAGGGCAGGAGGAAACAGGGCTTGGTCAGGCCAGAGACAGTAGGAGCCTAAACCACAGGCCTGCAGAGGTTGAGGGGAAGTGTCTGATAATTAGTAGGGTGTGGAAATGAGAATGAGCAAATTGAGTATGGTGCCCAGGGCTTCCAGTTTGGGTGGACGGGTCTTCTGGCCCTAAAGCCCTGTCACGGGAAGGCGAACTGCCTGGAAAACGTACACTTGGGGAAGACAGAGGAGGTTATTACAAACACTCCTTCACTTTACAACTTGGCTGTTTTATGATAAGTTTTAGTGCATTTGTTTGAGGTTATTAAAGATGCCATTTTACTGCCTTCTTAACAAATGGACGTAGGCAGATAACTGTTTTCCTGTTGTGGTGAGTAATGGCCCGGCGAGGCAGCCTTCTGTGGAGCAGGCACTGCAGAACCTTTGCATGCAGATGGCATCTCCTCTACAATGGCGCCAGGGTTGCTAGAGCCACACAGACGCTGAACTCATTTCACTCAGGAACGCCACAGAAACGATAGCCAAAAAAGGATACCATGAAGGCGACATAGATCACATGCTTTTTAAAAAGCCCATCGTCAGCATAAGTGACAACACCATTACCACTCAGTCACCGAGATTAAAAATTAGTCACACGTGGAAAATAGAAACAGGTTTTCAGGGAGAAGAAGGCTTTGTTTTCACTGAATAATGCCCCCTCTTTTGCTTGGTAAATAGATGATCCTTATTTCCTGATGATCTACATTTTCGAGGGTAGCTCTGCCTAGGTGGTCTCAGATTTGGGGTTAAAGCCTTGGCATCAGTTGACTGTCTGGGTAGGGCTCAAAAACTATAAATTGTATCCGAAAAATGTCTGACAAGGTCAGAGATTCCATCCAGACTGAATCTAGATTAGGTCACAAATGATTAACAGTCCTTGTAATTAAGAACTTTTATCTTGGCCAGGTGTGATGGCTCTTGCCTGTAACCCCAGCACTTTGGGAGGCGGAGGCAGGCGGATCACTGGAGGCCAGGAGTTTGAGACCAGCCTGGGCAACATGGTGAAACCCTGTCTCTACTAAAAATACAAAAATTAGCCAGGTGTGGTTGCGGGTGCCTGTGATCCCAGCTACTCGGGAGGCTGCAGCAGGAGAATCTCTTGAGCCCAGGACGCGGAGGTTGCTGTGAGCCAAGCTCACAACACTGCACTCCAGTCTGGCCAACAGAACAAGACTCCGTCTCCCTCTCTTTTTTTTTTTTTTCTGAGTCCCGTTCTGTCGCCAGGCTGGAGGGCAGTGGCGCGATCTCGACTTACTGCAATCTCTGCCTTCTGGGTTCAAGCTATTCCCCTGCCTCAGCCTCCCAAGTAGCTGAGACTACAGGTACACGCCACCACACCCAGCTAATTTTTTGTATTTTAGTAGAGACTCAGTTTCACCATGCTGGCCAGGATGGTCTCGATCTCCTGACCTCGTGATCTGCCGCCTCAGCCTCCCAAAGTGCTGGGATTACAGGCGTGAGCCACCATGCCCAGCCGCAAGACTGTGTCTCAAAATAAAATAAAATATTTTTTAAAAAAGAACTTTCTTCTTGTGTGCATCACAATACTTCAGCGAGACACAGTCCTCATCCGAGCCACCATGGGGTTGGCCGTTGCCCCTCTCCTTCCCTTTAAGCCCTGGTCCAGCCCAGCCTTCGGTCTTCTGAGCCTCTATGTACCTCGGCTGGGCCCCGGCCCCTGTCCTCAGCCCGTCCTGTCCGCTTCCCCTCCCTGGCCACTCTGGGTAGAGGCCTTGCTTTCTGTGTCACTGACACCTGGGGACAATTCACAGAGGTACCCCACACCCACACTCCCAACACGGTGTCTGTCCCACCTGTGCCCGCCACCCACCAAACCTCTGCTCCCCTCCATCTTCTCCCCTGTTACTGTGGTTGAACTCTTCACACCCCCTGTTAAAGGCCAGCCACCTGTCAGCCCTCCCCTGACCCTGCAAACAGTACTGCACCTGTCCTCAGAATTCAGGTGTGCCCACTCCCTATGTCTGTCTTTGCTCCTCTGGCTCACTTTGATCCCCATTAAAGCACTCTCATTCTCTGGCTGGGCACAGTGGCTCACGCCTGTAATCTCAACACTTCGACGAGGCAGGTGGATCACTTGAGCCCAGGAATTCGAGACCAACCTGGGCAACATGGGGAGGCCCTGTCTCTACAAAAAATACAAAAATAAGCCAGGCATGGTGGCACACACTTGTAATCCCAGCTGCTTGGGAGGCTGAGGAAGGAGGATTGTTTGAGCCCAGGAGTTCAAGACTGCAGTGAGCTGTGATCACACCACTGTACTCCAGCCTGGGCAACAGCGTGACACAGCCTGTCTCAAAAAGAAAAGGTCTCACTCTCAAAGCTCCCTGAGACCACTTCCAACAGGGTCTCCACCAGCCTCCTCCACTCTTGGCAGCCTGGTCTTGCTGTCGATGGCGCAGGATGGCGCATGTGTTGGTCACGGCTTCCCTTGGAACTGGCTCCTCCCTGGGCTCCTGGGGGCCACCTGGCCCTGTTTCTGCTGCCCTCCTCCTTGGGCCCACTATCGTGAACCATCCTGGCACTCTGTCCCCAGCAACTGTATAGCAAAGATGTCTACAATGTGGACCTTGGCCTCCAGCCTGGCCCCTGAGCTTGAGACTTGGCAGCCTTCAGGTTGTCTCCCCTGAGTTGTGTGACAGAAGCTCCAGCCCAGCATCCCAACCCCAAGGCTCCGCCTGCTGAAACCTCCTCCTCCCAAACCATCCCCATCTGTTGGTCACACCAGCCATCTCTGAGCTGCCAAGGCCAAAATCGTGTCTGAGTCCTCCACACCTCTTCCTCCCACTGCGATGTGGAACCCACCAGCAACCCTCACATACGTTCCAGTTTCACTGCTCTATGGCAGTGGGCTCTGCACCAGGCTGGACCACAGAAGGCCATGGGTGGCTTCCGTTGTATAAAACATGCCACAAGTGCATCCAGCTGCCGGGATCAGTGCCGGTAAGTGCCCACTGCAGAGACCCAGCGCACTGTGCCCGGGCCACCCTCACCAAGGCGCTGTCCTAAGGATGAAACTGGCAACCAGAATCAAGCCCACACCAGGCCACTCTGCCACATTCAGAGGACAATCATGTGTTCCCCTTCCCCATATCTTTTTCCTTTTATTTGCCAGAAAAGTGCAGTTCCCCAGAAGCCAGCAGGCCAACCACAGGCATCTCCCTCCCTCCCCAAGCGCACACCGCCCCTCAGCACCCGGGAGGGACGTGAACACACACAGCCCGGGAAGGTCCCAGAGCAGGCTGGGTGCTCCTTAATTACGGAGGCCCCACCACCCAGGGCCTGGCAGGGCACCCAGAAGATGAGGACTTTAAGGAGCTCTCTCTGTCCCCACGTGGCTCCTCCTACCATGCTCCCGGCAAGCTAGTGTTCTCAGCGGCTCTTCTGTTTTTTTTAACAACTCTTATTTTCAAATAAGAATAAATATGTCTGTTCTCTGGGGCTTTAGGCAGCCCCGAGCTGACCCTGTGACTGGGGAAGGATTGATGGCCCCGTCTCACCGGGAAGCCAGGTGCATCTTTTACTAAAGGTGGTTTCTGAATGATGAATGGCTTTCTCACAAACACAAAATTGTTGATTGTAGTTACAAACAATTCATTTTCACGTCCTGTTGATTCTGCCCCAGCCGTCCCTCATGACGCCTCCACGGATGATGCATCGGTGGCTATTACCACCATTGATGAAGGCTTCCTGGTCGCCCCGTGGTACCTGTTACTCCATTCATCACAGACGAGCAGCGGGAGAGCGTGTTCTCTTCGGGCCTTGCAGTTATTTATCCTTGAATTTGTGTGGGTTTGTGCACCTTCTAAATACAAGTGCAAACCCAAACTCCAAGATCTTAATAGGCTGCAACAGTGGCCAAAATACACGGCCAGTTAAATTCTTTGGGTTTAGCCAATCCCCCAAAGCCTACCTCTTCTGCTCCACATTCTAAAAAAATACTGATGTGCATAAACAGTGT